ATTTGTATCCCCGGGATTTTACATCACTCCCAGTACAACTTAAAAGAGCTAGTTCACTTTAAATATATCAGCTGATAAATGTCCATACTAAATAGCCATGCATTATTCTAGTAATTCTATAATGTTGCATTAAACAAACCATGGAACTTGTAATGACAGGGGTGTTTAAAGGGATACTATAGCGTCAGGAATACAAAGCTATATTCCAAGCACTCTCTCTCCCCCTGCCTCCCCTCTCCCTTTAGCACCCCAGGCAAATATAGGGTTAAAAACCCTTTATTTACTTACATGATCCCAGCGCCGATGTATCTTGGTGCTGGGTCAAAGCTCCAACCTCTCCCAGGGCCGGACTGGGAATTAAAAGCAGCCCTGGAAAAAAAATATTTACCAGCCCCATAATGCGTCGCACCAGCATAGTGTGAAGATACAGAGTTAGAACAGATAACTTAAAATTAAAAAGTACTTCAACGTAAAAAGCGCACTCAAAGGCTTCAAAATAAACAAAAGTGCAGATTTATTATAAGCAGACGTGCCTTTGCATGTAATCAATGTTTCAGTCCAACTACCTTGACATGTTAAGGAAAGCTGTTAATGGGACTGAAATGGTGAATGTATGTAGGGCAAAACTGTAAAAAAAAATTATTTTGAAGTCCTGTGGGTGTGCTCTTCACTTTAAATATGTTATTGTGCTGGAGTATGCACCTAGCAACAAGACTGGGCCAATATCTGCTCATTACATATTAATGAAATTTCTCTGTGTATTATGTATTGTAAGGAAACCAAGTACATTTAAACCTTAATCGGTAGTTTCCTCCCGAACAGCCAGAGCCCAGTGAATATAGCCCTCCGTTCGGTAGTTATAGTAGACGAATTCCCAATTGTAAATCCAATAGTGTTCCTGGATAATTCCCACAGTAAAACACACGAACTCCCAAACAGCATACGTAGTCAGAATAAGGGTACAAAGATGAACTGTTTATTGGCACACAAAGAACCTTCTTTTATGCAGGTCCCCATGCAATGGGACATCCCACAGGGTGGGACACAGTACAACCAATCACACAATGGTTACATCCCACACATCCCCTCCCCTTAGCCTGAGAGGTAACTGTGGCGAAACCAACCTCGCCACTGTGAACTGGAGAAGCCTGGTTGCTCGCCTGCTCCCTTTGGACTATGGCCCTGCAGGTTAAACCGTTTATTTCCCCTGCAGAAAGGCTTATTTGTGTGATCTGAGTGCCATTCATCTAATATGTGCACTCAGATCCCAGCTATCTGGGGATATGTGAAATGTCTGTGTGTTATGTGTAAATGTGACTTTATGTATTTTAAAGTGTTTTGTGTCTTTTTGCAACCATGTGCTTAATGGAGTCTTGTGTCTATCCTGGGAGATAATTGAATTACTCTCCAGGATAGAAGACTCTGAAACTGGTTTGGGCCAGAAAGTCATGCTTCATTTAGTCACAAAGGACTTTCCCTTAACTTTTGAACCCCTGGTCTGATTCGTGCCATTTTTTAATATGTTGTTCCCCTGAATGGATTGATTATGAAAATGTATGTTTTATGTTTGTGACATGTATATTTTAGAAGTTATAAATATTGTGTAAAAACTGTATTCCTCTGCCGGTGATAATGAGATTACCCATTGTGTTCAGTAATCATATCACCTGCAGAAGGGAGGATTTTGTGTGGGAGTATCTGGGTGTATTGTACGGATTGATTGGTTGTTTTGTAACGCCCTGTGGGCTGTACTATGTTTGGGGATTGGGAATAAAAGAGACTGTATGTGACAGTACAGGGAGTTCCTGTTTTAACCCTCAAAGTGAAGTGTCGTCTCATTATTGGGGGAAGGATTCATTGTATGCTGTTTCAGTTTGACTGCTAGGAGAGTAAACCTATTCGTATGGTTCCTATTCAACTGTCTACAGCATTCCTTATGCTTGAGAGAAGGTATACGCTTCTCTGGTTCGGTGATTGTGGCGTCTGCTGCAGTGCTTGGAGTCCTCAGGAAGCGCTAGGAGCATCTTTAACGGAGGTACCCAGTCGGGGTGCCAGGCGATCCGTTACATTGGTGGCAAGCGGTGGGATGGCATCCTAGTGCGAGGTAAAGCAGCTCAGAGACACAGTTCGTTTGGATTTACAAATTGAGGGCAACGCTAGCACACGTGCAGCGCCCCTGGGAGCAGAGGTATCCAGCGACTTGGAGCAGACAAGTATGGAAGGCTCTGGCGATGATTGGATGGCCGAGGTGAGGCAGCGTGTGGCCCAGTATGGGGATGATTTACCCATGGAGGTACGCCGGGTGATCTGGAACCAGGTCACGGCCGAGCGAAACACAAGGCTGGCCCGAGAATTCCGGCTGGCGAAAGAGAGAGAGTATGCTCAGCGAAAGGAGTGTTACAGCAGCCGAGTAGAGGCTGCATCCGAGGAGGCTAGCCGTCTCCCCCTGAGGCGGCCGCAGGAACCTGAAGTAGGGGTCCTCATAGACTGGTCCTGTGAGGAACCACAACAGGCAGGTGGAGATGGGACCGGCCCAGATCCCCAGCAGCAGCCGGAGTTGCCAGGTGCGGAAGCAGGTGGTCCTTACTCGCAAATGTTGAGGGACCTCACAGACTGGTCCTGGGAAGACCCACAGGTGGCAGGTGGAGATGGGACGGCGGTCTCTCAACCGGCCCTACAGGGATGCTGGGCGGTCGGCCCAGATCTCCAGCGGCAGTATGTACCCCAGGGAGCTGAAGGTGCAGTCCTTCCTCCCCAGCGGCAGTGTGCACCCCAGGGTGCAGTCCTTCCTCCCCAGCGGCAGTGTGTACCCCAGGGAGCTGAAGGTGCAGTCCTTCCTCCCCAGCGGCAGTGTGTACCCCAGGGAGCTGAAGGTGCCGTCCTTCCTCCCCAGCGGCAGTGTGTACCCCAGGGAGCTGAAGGTGCCGTCCTTCCTCCCCAGCGGCAGTGTGCATCCCAGGGAGCTGAAGGTGCCGTCCTTCCTCCCCAGCAGCAGTGTGTACCCCAGGGAGCTGAAGGTGCCGTCCTTCCTCCCCAGCGGCAGTGTGTATCCCAGGGAGCTGAAGGTGCAGTCCTTCCTCCCCAGCGGCAGTGTGTACCCCAGGGAGCTGAAGGTGCCGTCCTTCCTCCCCAGCGGCAGAGTGTCCTGCAGGGAGCAGAGACCGGCAGTCTCGCACCCCAACCACAGGACAAAATAATGAAAGGGGAGACAGCTGGTCCCCCTCTCCACCAGCAGAGAGAGTGTCAGGGAGAGGAGCCTGATACCCCCTCTCCCCAGCGGCAGCTTACAGTTCAGAGAGAGGAGCTTGTTACACCCTCTCTCCAGCGGCAGCCTAACCCAGCAAGGGGAGATGGGACTGTAGTCTCTGCACTTACAGCACAAGGGGTAGGGACAGTCGGTCCTGTTCCCCAGCCACAGAGCGGTGTATCCAGAGGGGAGACAGTCGGTCTCTCCCTCCCACAACCAGGCTCCCACCAGGCTACTTCCGTGGTAGCACTGGCATCAGGGCAGAGTACCGCTGGTCTCTGCCCACTCAGCAACCCACCAAGGCAGCCTAACAGTTGCCCACACAGTCGTGGTGAGGCACCTGGACATGGACAAAGTTCTCCTCTACCCAGGTGTAGTAACCAGTTATTGTGGGTGGGCTGTACTGCTGTTTCTGTTTTGTGGGTGGGTTGCTGGACTAACCAGGGCACTGACCGGCAGGAGGTCAGATACCCTGTTAGTCTAGTTGGTAAAGGGGAGAAGTGTGGCGAAACCAACCTCGCCACTGTGAACTGGAGAAGCCTGGTTGCTCGCCTGCTCCCTTTGGACTATGGCCCTGCAGGTTAAACCGTTTATTTCCCCTGCAGAAAGGCTTATTTGTGTGATCTGAGTGCCATTCATCTATAGTGTGCACTCAGATCCCAGCTATCTGGGGATATGTGAAATGTCTGTGTGTTATGTGTAAATGTGACTTTATGTATTTTAAAGTGTTTTGTGTCTTTTGCAACCATGTGCTTAATGGAGTCTTGTGTCTGTCCTGGGAGATAATTGAATTACTTATCTCCAGGATAGAAGACTCTGAAACTGGTTTGGGCCGGAAAGCCATGCTTCATTTAGTCACAAAGGACTTTCCCTTAACTTTTGAACCCCTGGTCTGATTCGTGCCATTTTTTAATATGTTGTTCCCCTGAATGGATTGATTATGAAAATGTATGTTTTATGTTTGTGACATGTATATTTTAGAAGTTATAAATATTGTGTAAAAACTGTATTCCTCTGCCGGTGATAATGAGATTATCCATTGTGTTCAGTAATCATATCACCTGCAGAGGGGAGGATTTTGTGTGGGAGTGTCTGGGTGTATTGTACGGATTGATTGGTTGTTTTGTAACGCCCTGTGGGCCGTACTATGTTTGTGGATTGGGAATAAAAGAGACTGTATGTGACAGTACAGGGAGTTCCTGTTTTAACCCTCAAAGTGAAGTGTCGTCTCATTATTGGGGGAAGGATTCATTGTATGCTGTTTCAGTTTGACTGCTAGGAGAGTAAAACTATTCGTATGGTTCCTATTCAACTGTCTACAGCATTCCTTATGCTTGAGAGAAGGTATACGCTTCTCTGGTTCGGTGATTGTGGCGTCTGCTGCAGTGCTTGGAGTCCTCAGGAAGCGCTAGGAGCATCTTTAACGGAGGTACCCAGTCGGGGTGCCAGGCGATCCGTTACAGTAACCCAATTATCAATACATTTTAAAACACACTTTTTACCCAACTTTCATAACTCCTCCAAAACCATACATCCAATATTATTAATCAGCACATCCCAAATGCAAACATACCCAAAAATCATGCAAATCCTTCCATTAGTTCAAAAGTTAGTTAGAAGTCCTTTGTGACCCAAAGGAAGCATGGCTTTTCTGCCCAAACCAGTTCCCACTGGTCTGGCAGTGTCCCTGGGACAACTCCCTGCTTGAGAACAATAGACAGGAAACGGGGGAGGGGAAGAAACACACCTTCCCATGGATTCCAATGGGAAGAAACTGTCTTTAGAAGCCAATAAGCCCCAAAGTTTGGATGTATAAAGGGGTGACAGGGTGGTCTGCATTCGGTAGTTTTACCTACCGAATGCCATAGGGAAACATTGCTATTGACACAAATACAAAGAGGGCATATACAGTAAAAAAAGGCATTTCGTCACATGTATATATATATATATATATATATATATATATATATATATATATATCTAATATACGTGTCATATACCAGCGACGGATCCAGAACCTGAGCCTGGGAGGGGCACTTGTAGATTATTTAAAGAAATATTCCATGCACAATAACCACTACTCCTCTGTGTAGTGGTTATGGTGCCAGGAGTGTCGGCACCCCTTCCCAGAGTAAGTAGTCAAACCGTTTAAGAACAGTTTGACAACTTACCTGGAGTCTGCTGGGATATGGGGCTGTTGTAGGGTATAGGAGCAGTGGTGCAATGTGTGAGGGGTGCAATGTGTGTGAAAGGTTCAGTGTGTGGGTGTGGGGGGCAGTGTGTGAATGTGTATGGGTGTGGGGGGCAGTGTGTGAATGTGTATGGTGTGTGTGTGTGTGTGGGCAGTGTGTGAATGTGTATGGTGTGTGTGTGTGGGCAGTGTGTGAATGTGTATGGTGTGTGTGTGTGTGTGGGCAGTGTGTGAATGTGTATGGTGTGTGTGTGTGTGGCCAGTGTGTGAATGTGTATGGTGTGTGTGTGTGTGTGTGGGCAGTGTGTGAATGTGTATGGTGTGTGTGTGTTGGGGCAGTGTGTGAATGTGTAGACATCCTTTGCCACTCCAGATGTTGTGGACTACACCTCCCTTGATGCTTTGCAAGCCTTAATGGAGATGTAGTAAAAAACAAAGGGAGTGTTGAAAGTTACCTACCCCTGCACTAAACCAAAAATATATAATACAGTTCCTACGCCATAAATATCATATTTAATGCTATAATATTTAATGCTCTCATCCAACCCACTTCTCTCCACAGTTCCTAATAAATATATTACAAATATAATTCCCTCACCCCTGTAGCTCCCTCTAGTTACATTTCCTTCTACACATACACACACATTATATATATAATATTAATTGGGCCACAAATATAAATGTCACAAATATAATCATTGCCTCATCTCAAATTCCCAAGTCAGATCTTTCCCGCCCCCCCTCCCCCTAATATACTTCTGCCCCCCCGCCCCAATCGAATACACGTCTGGCCTCCCCTTCCCCCTATGTAATACACTGTTGACCCCCCTCCCCCTAATTTACTGCTGTCACCCCCCTCCCCCACTACATTACTGACCCCCCAATACATTACTGCCCCCCCCTCCCCCCTCCCCCTAAATACATTAGTGGCCCCCCTAAATACATTAGTGGCCTACTCCCCTAAATACATTAGTGGCCTACTCCCCTAAATACATTAGTGGCCTACTCCCCTAAATACATTAGTGGCCTACTCCCCTAAATACATTACTGGCCTACTCCCCTAAATACATTACTGGCCTACTCCCCTAATACATTACTGGCCCCCCTCAATACATTACTGGCCCCTAATGCATTACTGCCCCCCCCTCCCCTGTGTACATTTACTGGCCCCTCCTCCCCTGTCACATTACTGGCCCCTAAGCCATTTACTGAAAGCCCCCCTCTCCCTCCACATTGCTGGCCCCCGATACATTATTTCCCCAAATACATTACTATTTTACTTCCCTAAATACTGCCCCCCCCCTTCCCCTAAATACATTACTGGCCCCCCAATACAATAGGTCCCCCTAGCCCAAGCCCCTTTATTCTTACCTTTAAAACTGTTCAATGGTGCAGGAGGGAAGAGAGGCCGCGATGCAAACTTGGTGGTGCCGCCGCCGCGCAGCCGCAGGATATGACGTCATATCGTCATTTGCCGCTCACATCCGGCGGCTGACAGGAAGTGCCTGTGCGCTCGCACAGCAAGTAGTAGCGGCCGGCGCCACGGCCGCATAATCCAAAACAAAAAAATATATTTATGTCTTGTGGCTGAGTGCAGCCACATGTCAAAGCGGCCCCAGGGCTGGCGGCCTACCGGGAAATTTCCCGGTATCCCGGTAGGCCAGTCCGGCCCTGTTCCCAAGAGTCTAAGTAAGGGTGTGTCCAGAAGTGTGTTCCCTTGTCTGATCTGATGATGATTTTATAATGTTCTCCTGAATATTCTAAAAGTGTTGTGTACTTACTTTTTAAAGAATTTGTTATCACTACTTTTTCCGTGGTGGTCTTTTTGAAGTGACCAATGGGATTAGATGGGTGTACCTTATTCTAATGACCAATTCAATAGATTATAACCAGAAGATGACATCAGTGCATCACAATAATTGTCATTACTAATTCCAATTGCCACTTTGTCTAAGGAGTTAATTGAAATCCATGGCAAAAATTACGTAAAAATGTCTTATCTTTATAGCAACTAAGTCGTAGATGGCTGTCACACTTCAAAGGGATAGTGGTTGGTCTCAGTAGACTACCAGTCTCTTTTTCTTGCCATAAAGTATCTTTTTGACGCATCTGGACTTTGATGTCAACTCACATCTTACAATAGGTCTTATAGAAAACTGCCATTGAAATAGACTTTCCTCAAAGTAAAATTAAAGTACTGGTAGAGAGTATCTCTTCTTGGTAATTCTAACCTATATCTGGTTTTCTTTTTACATTGTCCTATTGTACAGAGCTAAGTGTGTCTGTGTTAGTAATATATATATATTCTAAGAGCTAAATATATTTGTTTATGCAGCGCTAGTCATTTATTGTACAGTGTGTTTGATTTAGATTTTACTATTTCATGCTAGAGTGAAAATGCAGAAAAGTAAACCTTTCTTTTCATGCAGACTGTGACTAGGACTGCATAAACAGAAACAAAAGTGATTTAACTCCTAAATGATAAAGAATTGAGCAGTGAAACTGCAGGGGTATTATTTATAAAGCAAAACAAGCTGCTTAACTATGCTAACATATCTAAAGTTGTTTAGGTGCATAGACTATCCATTTAACAGAGCAGGATATAAGACCTTCTAAAGAAAACACTATGCCAGGGGTAGGCAACCTTTTAGCAGCACTGTGCCGATATAGGATTGTGATGTCCCGTAGCGTGCCGGTCCTATTTTTTTTAATTGAGGTGTGTATGCTGCCGTATTCTGCTTGTGTTATTTATACTGTAATTGCTTTGTATCGTTGAATATTTCTGCGTATATGAGCTATTATAATGTGTATGTTCAGGAGTAGTTTGTAGTATCGTGTATGATGCATATGAATGTGGGCTGTGTATGGGGGCTGCTTGTGGAATTGTGTGTGTGGGTGGATATGTCACATTGTGTCTTTGGTAGTGTGTGTATGTGTGGGGGCTGTTTGGGGTATTGCATGTGAGAGACTGCATGTAGAGTTGTGTGCATGTATGTGGATTGTTAACAGGTTACGTTTCTGTGGATTGTGTGTATGTTTGTGGGCTGTTCGTATTATTTGTATGAGGGGAGGGTTATTGTGCATTTCTCTGTATATTTAGTAGTGTGTGGCTTCCCAGGGCTCCAGTGGGTACCAGGCTGGCCAGGTACAGGTCAAGGACAGGAGCTGCAACAGCAGCTGCAGGCTGCTCTACTACAGTGTGGATTCCCATTCACAAGTGCTGGGAGGAAGTGAACTGATATAACTTCCTTTATGTGCTGCAATGCATACATTTAGGATTGTCCTTCACCACCTTTTTGTATTAGCAGGTATCTGAAGTTTTGTGATGGGATTCCAGCATGGTCAAAATTTAGTAGGCCAAAATCTCCATGTGGCATATGTGTATGTTGTGTCAGTTGGTTAGCTACATGTAGCTAGGATACTGTCATCAGTGTACTGAGCATGTGCAGGAATGCAGGAACTGAAATTGCACTTATTTCCTTTGTCTTGGATGAGCCATGTGGTTTGACTAGATGTACAAGTCTATATTCTGCTCATTGATTGGTTAAAGGTATATGTGGGTGTAGCTATTAATGGGAGGAGTTATAGTGCTATATAAGGAATGTACACTATGTGTTGGTCTCTCAGAATTTGGAACAGGAGTTCATCTGAGACCCGATCGGTAATGTGAATAAAGGCCTGTTACTTCCTGAAGACCTGTGTCCAATATTTCTGTGTTTGGCTTCTGCATGCTTACACTGCAACATCTCTGGTGCATTGGCAGTGGGAACCTCATTTGCATGGAAGCTGGCGCAGAGATTTGAGACGGTAAACTTTTACCAAACCTTCTACGCTACAATCCTGGACTTCTACTGCGTGGACCTCCTTTCGTCTCGGCGCCACTGGCCTTTTGTCCAGGAGATCATCGGCTTCTGCGCAGTGAGTCCCGGATTGTTCCGTCTATGAGTGAACCCAGGTCCAGAAATTAACAGGTAAGATTGATACCGTTAGAGCGGTAGACCCACAAGGGGTTTTATATTTGGAACCGGTTATTGGAATCTGCCCTGTCCTGATGGATGGAAGAAGTGAAAAGCGCAACACTTATCTGGAAATTAGACGCTCTGTAGTCAGCCCGTCTAATATAGGTGGTTTGGGTCAGACTGAGTTCTGGTGTAAATAGCTCATGTCGGACACCGGTGTCCTGTCTTGACTAGCGTATCTAGGGTGTAAATTTTGTTCGCTAGGTCGGGGGGACCGGGAGACTAGCATACTCTGTTGTATATTATAGTTTGCTAGATTTCACCCTATCTTAACTAAGTGTGCTCTGTTGTAAATCCAGCCACTAGCTTATTGATAGTTTAATAGACTAGCTGGGTACTGTGTAAATTCTGCCCTCTAGTTCGCTATACGTGGTGTCTGGGCAGCGAAGAACTTATCGAATCTCTGGTGTATAAATAGATCGAAAGCTCTCGAGGTGCTGGCCAGTTAGAATAGTTGGGATTATTGTAAATGTTGTTAAATATATTGTAGTTGGTGAATTGGTTAACTTGTATGTCCTACTAGAAAGTTAGAGCTCTGCTGTCTAGTGGGAGTGTAAATTGTGTGTATAACTGTAAAATAGCGCACGGTACCATAACTACTGACATGTACCATAACCACTGACATTGTGTAAAAATTACTAACAATTGCTGTTTTATGTTATATGTATAATACCATAACTGTTACTAACTGATCTGTGACTTTAAAACTGTATTATAACCACTTACTAACTGTACCATAACCACTGACTGTAAAGATGAGGTTACTAGAATGTGATATAGTTGGTTAGTCAAAAGTTGATTTATAGTACGGATAATTGTAGAGATGAATTTGTTGAAATGTTATGTGATCGGTTAGTTTATATGGATTAATAGCGTGGATAGTTGTATGGTTTGAATAATAGTTACATTGATAAGTGTATAGTCTTTGGTGGGTTTTTGATTTAATTTCGTGTGTGCGACGTCGTGATATTGTTGAGCATGTGAGGATCCTGTGTGTGTGTTTGGGCCTAGTGACTGCGCAATGTGTTGCTGGTGATAAGGAGATTGGTGTGACTGTTGAAACTGTGGTGTATATTTGTACAGCTTTTTGAATCAGACGTTCTGTTGCAATGATCTTCTGATTCACTAGGCTGTTAGTCTTTTGTCTTGTATGTTTTCAAAAAAAAAAAAAAAGTAGGGAGTAGCCTGTCCTGGTGGCCGCATGGCCTCCATGTAGCAGTCTTCACTTAAATTTAGTGCAGGGTGTACATGTGGCTGTAACTAGTAGGCTGGAATTCTATGATCAGTTTCTATATATTGACTGTTGGAAACTGATTGTTGAAAAACTGCCTTGGTGAATTAAACTGTGTCATATGAGAAACAATGTAGCCATATGGTGGTCAGAACTAAGGCCTTGATTACAACTGCTTTGGACATCCCCTCCCCCCTGGCATCTGATTACCAACCCCCCAAACATCCTCTAGAGCCAGATTAGCCACGCCCCTATTCTTCTTCCCAAGCTAAAAACTGGTATATAGTCAGTATTTGCACTCCCCCTGCTCTACTGTCCCCGCCTACCCACATACCTATCTGTTCCTGTGTTTCAAACTCTTGTATTTCTGTACTACCCCTCCCCCTAATCAATGATCAATGGCATCAGATGGTATATTGGTTTTTTTTAGTTACTGGATGGGCCCCTCCCAGCTTTGTCCAAAATGTCCCCTTTTTACTAAAATACAAACTGAAATGTTTAATTTACCTTAGAACTAAAGATTTAATCAAGCCTAGATATCAGGGTGGACATTGATTAAAATAAGTAATAATAAAATAGGACATAATTAATTAAAGTCTATTTGTTTCATTTGACTTTAGGGAGGCACTCTAGGCCACCTACTGGCCATCTTCGGGAGTTACATTGATAATACATTGTTTATAACAGATAGATGTAGGATTGCTTACCCTATTTTAATATATTTATTGCTATAAGGTTTTATTTTATGTATAAATATATTAAAAGTTGAGTTTTCTTATTAGACCCATAAAGATTATTTTGATACAATTACCCTCTGGTGACACCTACTGGTAGGTTTTTGGTTTAACACTTTAAACAAAAAGTTTTTTCATCCACCAAATGCTGACTAATAAAATTAGCTCACCCCCTTACACCTATCTTACTACTCCCAGACTGGAACCTATTATTGAGCAGCCTTGCCGAAGTCCCATATTAGATACTGCTTGAGTCAAATAGATTGTACACTCCTTTCAATCCTGAAGACCCTGAAAACTTCCGAATGATAGACTCAGCATTTGTCAGCCAGGCCCAAGGTGATATTAAAAGGAAATTACAGAAATTAGAGGGATTTGCAGGGATGTCCATATTACAGCTAATGGAGATTGCAAATATAGTATATATGAATAGGGAGACGGAGGAAGAATGTAAAATGAGGAAAAAGGCAGATATGCTAGCGGTAGCTATCTTAAGTGTAGAAAGACAGGGAAGTGAATAGAGGAGACGAGAATAGGCTGAGCAAGGGACCTTTAAGTAGGAATTAATGTGCGTATTGTAGAAAGGAGGGACATTGGAAGAGTGAGTGTCCACAGAGAGAGCAGTATGAAGGTGATAGACAAGGAGAGAGAAGGGTACGAGGAGGTTATAGTGGTAGTTATAGAGTAAGAGGAAGTTTTAGAGGGAATGATGGGAATAGTAGAGGAAGTGTTCAAGGAGACAGATACTATCTACCCACGCAGAGACCTAGAGAAAGAGAGGATAGAGATTTTGTGGGTCTGGCTGACACTATCATGGAAGACTATTGATACCGACCGGGCTCCATCCCACTTGGTCGAGCGGAGCCTATGGTCGATGTAGCAATAGGGGGAAAGAGAAGTTCTTTCATGATCGACACAGGTGCTGAACATTCTGTGGTGACTAAGATGGTGGCTCCGCCTTCGGGGAAGACTATAACTGTGATAGGAGCTACTGGGAGAAGTGCAGCTAGACCGGTTCTTAAGAGTCGCACTTGTATTCTGGGAGGCCATGTGGTGAAGCATTAGTTCCTATATATGCCAGAGTGTCCGATTCAACTTTTAGGACGAGATCTATTATCGAAGCTTTAAGCTCAGATAACCTTTTACCTAATGGATTAACATCTCTGAAGTTTAAGGGATTACCAGGCATAATGGCGATATCGGTGCCAAGGGAAGAAGAATGACGCTTCTATTCCATAGTGACAAGTGTTAACCCTAAGAGTGATGAATCCTTACTTGACATTCCAGGAGTATGGGAAGAAAATAATCCTCCAGGACTTGCTCGTAATATCCCACCAATACATATTGAGTTAAAGCTCGGGGTGTATCCTGTTAGCCTTTGTATGTTGTTCTTTTATCTACCCCAACAGCTGTAAAGGTGGCGGAAGTGACTCCTTGGATTCATCATTCTAAGGTTAAACCAGCAGCAGACTCTTGGCAAGCTACTCCAGATCCTGAGAATCCTTGCAGGACCCGGTTGAAGCGTGCAACTCAGTCGGAGTGACGAGGGGATATCGAGACATTCTAGTTAAAAGTCTACAAAGATCATCAAGTAGGTGTTTTGACGGCCATAATAAAGCCTGACCACCTGCCTACGTGTCATAGCCAGAGTATCTTGAAGGGATCTCTGTGAAGGAAAGTGAGGATCAGAAGAACAACATCCTTGCAGCCCTCACAATCGGGAAGCTGAGAGGCCATCGCACGGTCGAAGAAAAATGAGGATTTCAGGAATAATGTGTTTTATTGTGTCTTAGTATTTTTATGATTTTTCAGGAAGGTAGGAGTACAGACATACCGAATTGCGATAGTTGCATTAAGACTACTAAAACAGGTAACCAAATATCCCAAACTCTCATCTGGCACTCATAGTATGAATGTAAGGGATCTGTATCTAAATGTAGATATTTGGATATTGATTATAGTGTGTGCAAGCCAATATCAGGAGAGTCTAAATGTTTTGATCCCCATTTCCAACCCCGTACAATTTGGTTGGTAATTCGGAATAGTAACTCCCAGGGGACATTACTAAATAGGACTGTGATAAGCACCATACATTCCACGGGTATTCTACTATTTGATGCATGTAAGGCGATTTCGGGTAGTGGAAGACTTTGGAATGTATGTGGTAATCTTAAATGGGAACGAACTTATGGGTTTAATGATAAATACTTATGTCCCAGTAAAAGATCTACTGATCCTGATTGCCCAAATAGAGACTAACTTCTGCCCCTATTTGTCATGTGTAGGTTGGGCAACCTGGGAAAAACAGTGGATCAAGATATGATTATCCAAAGGTTGCCTACCACACCATACTGTAAAACTATGTGTGTAACCCCGTTCACATGACCATTTCCAATCTGCAGTACTTTATTGACAGGTTTGGAGGTCTGTTTGGGTTCCAAATATATGGCACAGGAGTAGATTCAGGAACAATAATATATGTAGGTCTTGAAACTGAGACAGTGGCAACTCAAACTCATCAGGTTTCTCATTCCTTCTATGAGGAGATGAGTATTGAGGATAAAATTCCCTATAATGTTAACAATCTATTTATTGATTTGGCTGAGGGTATTGCAGGTAGTCTTAATGTAACTAATTGCTATGTGTGTGGAGGTACTAATATGGGAGACCAGTGGCCATGGGAGGCAAAGGAAATATGGTACCCTGGCTCTGAGACATATGAACAACAGATACCTTTCCAGTCTGATCATCAAGTAAGTACTAGAAGTAAATTGGAATGGTGGTTAAAACCCTCCATTATAGGTCATGTTTGTATAGCCAGGAAAGGGACAATGTATAACACGTCTGTAGGTGAGCTAACTTGCTTGGGACAAAAAGCCTATAATGTTAATACTAAAAATACTACTTGGTGGTCAGCTTCAAATGTCTCGGAACCTACTAATCCGTTTGCCAATTACACTCATTTAAGGGAGGTATGGTTTGACTTATCGGCTACATCTAGTTGGAAAGCCCCAGCAAATTTATACTGGATTTGTGGTAAGAAAACTTATTCGGAGTTACCACAAGATTGGGAAGGGGCATGTGTATTAGGTATGCCAAAGCCATCCTTCTTCTTGTTGCCAATCGAAACAGGAGAGACCTTGGGAGTTAAGGTTTACGATGTAAATCATAAAAGGGAGAGAGCATCCTTGAATATAGGTAGCTGGGAAGATAATGAGTGGCCCCCTCAACGTATTATTAATTATTATGGACCTGCTACTTGGGCAGAAGATGGCACTTATGGATATAGAACTCCGATTATATATGCTCAACCGCATTATTAGACTACAGGCGGTAGTTGAGATTATTACTAATGAGACAGCTCAAGTGCTTAATCTTCTAGCTAAGCAAAATACCAAGATGTGATCAGCCATATACCAGAATAGGCTAGCCCTTGATTACTTACTAGCAGTTGTCTGCACATAGATGATGAAGGGCAGGCAGTGGCTGAACTTACAAGCCACATGGTTAAATTTGAGCATGTACCTACTCAGGTCTGGAATGGGTATAACCTAAGTAGTTGGTTTGGAAGTTGGTATGAGCAGCTTGGAGGAATTAAGACATTAGTAGGAGGAGTAGTGTTTATCATATTCTTATGTCTTTTCCTGCCCTGTCTAATTCCATTAGTGGTAAGGTCCCTACGTAGTATTATAGAGAGTACTATAGAGAGAAAGACAGCTGCCCATGTAATGGCTATCTGGAAGATATGATCCCCTAGCCCGAAGAGAATATATTCAGGATGAAGAATGTTGAAGGAGTTCTTAAGATGCTTACAAGGTCTACTCTGGTTCAATGGCTACTTGAGAGATGTAGGTAAAACTGTGATTGGTGATGCATCTGGAATAATGTTATATCAGAGGCATCAAAGGGGGGAATGTGATGGGATTCCAGCATGGTCAAAATTTAGTAGGCCAAAATCTCCATGTGGCATATGTGTATGTTGTGTCAGTTGGTTAGCTACATGTAGCTAGGATACTGTCATCAGTGTACTGAGCATGTGCAGGAATGCAGGAACTGAAATTGCACTTATTTCCTTTGTCTTGGATGAGCCATGTGGTTTGACTAGATGTACAAGTCTATATTCTGCTCATTGATTGGTTAAAGGTATATGTGGGTGTAGCTATTAATGGGAGGAGTTATAGTGCTATATAAGGAATGTACACTATGTGTTGGTCTCTCAGATCTTTTGGAACAGGAGTTCATCTGAGACCCGATCGGTAATGTGAATAAAGGCCTGTTACTTCCTGAAGACCTGTGTCCAATATTTCTGTGTTTGGCTTCTGCATGCTTACACTGCAACAGTTTCACTGGGACTCCTGACAGGCCAGAGCCTGTTTGGCTCTAGCAGCCTTGAGTGCCGTGCAAAGACACCTTGAGTCCCGTGCATGGCACTAGTGCTGTAGGTTGCCTACCCCTGCACTATGCTGTAATATCTGATAAAAAAAAACAACAACCCAAGGTTGTGTGGGTCACAGCCAATGGTAGTGTAATTTAGCATTGATACATTGTGGGTATGTTCTATATATTGTTATAAACTGCTTCATTAAGCTAAAGTTGCTATGTAGATTAGTGTCCCTTTAATACTATAGAAGGGTGGTCCAGACCTGTACTGTCCAGAGCAGAAATAGGCTTTAAATACAGGCTGGAATAAGCCATAAGGGCTGAGCAATGGGTTTTATGGGACAGGGAGTGGGTGGAAGAATGAGTCCCAGCTCCCAGTCAGTTATTAATTTACAACCCTGGAGGTTTTGGCAAATGCCCATTATATCCAAGTTGCCAGTTTCCAAATGCATCATTGACTACATTGAAAAATGTGATTAGGAATACTTTCTGTATGCTCAATATTTCCAGTAAAATGTAGATTTGAATTAAAATATAAAAGCGGATGTATAAGCTTTGTGCCATTGATTTTGTGTCTAGTAGGAATTAATGATTAATTGGTTTATATTTTGTAATTTATTTTTTCAGCCTCATTATTAAGACAGAATTTCTGCCGAGGAAGTTTCGCGGATATATGCTGCCTTTGTCAATGGTATTTTGAAATTGTTTTCATCGTTTTGGAGCATTACTACATTCAAATACTTACTTACCAAGACTGTATAACATGTTTTGAACCTATTTTTATATTATGTTAAAGGAGCACACTAAGATCATTAACACAAAAGTGTATTCCTGACCCTATAGTTTTAAAACCACCATTTTAATGAGTAGAAGAAGATGAGCCTTATTTTGTTTTATCTTATTTTGTTTACCTACAGCTCTTTTGGTTGGCTGGGTCCTTATTAATCATTGGATTGGGATCTGTCACCATTCCCACTTTAGGCTGGCGCTGGCTCATTCGATTTGCATCCATTCCAGGCATTATACTTATCACCGTATTTAAAGTAAGATATTGGCATCACACATCCTCTCTAATGGTGTCTTTCTATTTTGTTATATACCTGTATGTTAAATTAAAAATTACCATTATGATACCTGAAAAAATTGACAAAAAAGGGAATGGAATCACCCTGGAAACTACCAGATTTATCCTGGATTTGTCAGCTTGTGAAAGGGATACTATATGCATAAAAACAACTTTGGTTTTTTAGCTTAATGAATCAGTTTTGGTGTATAAATCATGCCCCTGCATTTTCACTGCTTAATTCTCTGCCATTTAGAAGTTAAATCACTACAAACAACAAAAACATAACAAGCTGCGTCTAATGATATACAAGAAATAAATGTGCTTGGAAAATTATGAAAAGGTCCAAGAAACACAGTCCAAAAGTTCCACTTATCACCAGATATTTTTTATTGAGCTGGGAGATATTTACTGTGACAGATCCCTCTGTCTTTGAACTATAGTGCTTTCCCGGTGGATTCGTGTAATTGCCTGTCCATACTTCCCCGTTCGTTTGTTTGATAATCTACCGAACAAACTGCCGAACGGCCGGCCACCCAGAAGAGGAGTGTGCTGCTGGTTAACCTATTGGCCCCAATTCGAACGTTGTGGTTAACCGCAGACACCTCCTAATTGAATCAGTATGCTGGGTGGTTGTCGTTCGTATGCTGACCACGAGGCAGCGGCCATCTTAGATGCACTAATACACAGCAGTGTTCATCAACAAAGTTATGGAACTCAAAACGGACACTTTTTCTCCCGAACCCCGCTGAAAACCGCCGACCTCCATTCTTTGTCATCCGGCATACGAACACCGGTCTGTTCGAGACTTTTTATTTCACAAATGGACTTAACCCAGATAGCCATCCCATGGAGCCCTTCGTATACCAAAAGAACAGTATGAAAGACTTTGGCTCCATGGCGATTGAACTATGTGTATTGGATCTGAGCGCCGTTCGGTAATAATGTGCGCTCAGATCTAGGCTATCTGGGGATAGGTTATATGTGTGGAATGCAATCAGTAGTTTTGAAGTTAGGGAATTTTATGTATTTGTACTTTATTATTTAAAATGGCGTTTTGCCTCTATCCATGGAGATAATTGGATTTCTTCCTAATTATCTCCAGGATAGAGAGGAGGGGTTGCTTGTACAAAGGGGAGGGTTTATGTCTGAGCCATTGTGATTGGCTAATGTATCATACTTGTCCCAGTCTTCCATCTGGTCCCCTAGGAGAGTGTCCACCAGGTGGGAGACCTGCATAAATACCGGGCAGGTAGCCCTCATTAAAGCAGATTCCTGTTTTACCCTCAAGACAGAGCTTGGTCTCGTGTTTGGGGGGATTGCTACTTTGGAGTATTCTTTCGCCTGTTCAAGGAGAGGAGGAGTTCATATGATTCTCTGTTCGGGAGTCTGGAGCATTCCCTTATATTCCGTTCGGGAGTTTGGCGGTCTACAGCAACGGTGCCTGTGTCTCAAAGGGGGAAGATCTACTAAACGGCGGTTTCAATCATTTATGCTGGGAGTGTCTTAACATTTACATAGGTACATATAAGAAAATAGAAAGGAGAACCAATAGTGTAGAGGAGCATACATATCCATAGGTGGGAATCATACCACTGCATGCACTTTATAATGGAGCTGGTTCTAAAGCTCCTTCACATGTGAGTGGGCGTTAATACACTTCTCTGTTGTGTGTCCTTCTCGTTTCAAGAAATACTACACTATTGGTCCTCCTTTCTAATTTCTTATATGTACCTACAGTATATATTCGAGTATAAGTCTAGTTTTTCAGCACATTTTTTGTGCTTAAAAACCCCCACTCGACTTATACTCGAGTCACTGTCTGTATTATGGCAACTTAGAGAGCCGCGGCTGTCAGAGCCATGGCAACGATCCGCGCGGCAACCAGACCGCGAGACTTACAGTGGAGCTGACCGGAAGGGAGGAGAAGGGAGCTGACGGGAGCTGCAGGAAAGGTAAGTAAATGCTTCCTGCCGGCCCCCCCACTTCACAGCCCATGCCACTGGACCAGTGTGCATTATATACACACTCTGCATTATATACACAGAGTGTGTGTATATAATGCAGAGTGTGTGTTTGTATGTGTGTGTGTATATAATGCAAAGTGTGTGTTTGTATGAGTGTGTGCGTATATAATGCAGAGTGTGTGTTTGTATGAGTGTGTTCGTATATAATGCAGAGTGTGTGTTTGTATGAGTGTGTTTATATATAATGCAGAGTGTGTGTTTGTATGAGTGTGTGTGTGTATATAATGCAGAGTGTGTGTTTGTATGAGTGTGTGCGTATATAATGCAGAGTGTGTGTTTGTATGAGTGTGTGCGCATATAATGCAGAGTGTGTGTTTGTATGAGTGTGTATATATAATGCAGTGTGTGTTTGTATGAGTGTGTGTGTGCGTATATAATGCAGAGTGTGTGTTTGTATGAGTGTGTGTATATATAATGCAGAGTGTGTGTTTGTATGAGTGTGTGTGTATATAATTATAAAAATCACAGAATTTCATAGCCCCAAGTTTTACCCTCGACTTATCCACGAGGCATTGCATATTTCACAATTGTTGGTCACAAAGATGCACTCGACTTATACATGAAATCGACTTATACACGAGTATATACGGTATGTAAATGTTAAGACACTCCCGGCATAAATGATTGAAAGTCCTCTGAAAAAGCCTTTTCCAAATAACCAATCAGAGGCCAGAGTAGCAGAAGTATAGAATCATGTCTTTATTGCAATAGAGAAAGAAGCAGTCCAAACTGATTCTTAGAGGTAGAGAACTTGGCATTTTTCATATATACACATAAGATATCAGTTACAAACAAAGGAATGTTTAATTACTGTGACAAAAGCTCCTTCCCACAAAAGTTTGCAACCGACTATGTGTCTAGGTCGGAGACCCCGTTCGGGAGTTAACCTTCCCAGCCGCCATTAGCAGCTTTCCCTCGGTGCCCCTGGTTCAGTACTTTCCCTTCATTCGAATGGAATCGAACACTTGCTCCCTGGTGGCTGTTCGCATGAACCAAACCCAGGAATGGTCCTCAGCGGTCAGGGCAGCCATCAGGCAAAGCACAAGGTCTGGGCCGCCCCTCACCCCCCAAGCCCCGCCACGAGTCCGGCCACAGGACTCCTACCTAGTCTGCTGACAATGATGCAGGACTGAATGTGGTGTGTATAGTGGAAGTGAATTAGAATGTGTGTAATGGATGTAGTGTTTGTGTGTATTAGATACTGTTTGTGCAGTGAATGCAGAGTGTGTGTTTGTGTAGCAGATGCAGTGTGCATAGTGAACGCAGAGTGTGTTTGAGTAGTGGATGTAGTGTGTGTACAGTGATGTAGTATGTGTTTGTGTAGTGGATGTAGTGTTTGTGTGTACTAGATGCAATGTGTTTAGTGGATGCAGTGTCTGTAGGGATGCAGTGTGTGTATTAGACGCAGTGTGTCTGTATAGTGAATGCAGAGTGTTTGAATGTGTGGTGGATGTAGTGTGTGTACTGTGAATGCAGGATGTTTGTGTAGTGGATTATGTGTGTATAGTTAATGCAGAGTGTATGTCAGTGTAGTTAATGCAGAGTATGTGTTATTGTAGTGAATGCAGAGTGTGTGTCAGTGTAGTGGATGCAGTGTGTTAGTGTAGTGAATGCAGTGTGTTAGTGTAGTGGATGCAGAGTGTGTGTCAGTGTAGTGGATGCAGTGTGCTATTGTAGTGAATGCAGAGTGTGTCAGTGTAGTGGAAGCAGTGTGTTAGTGTAGTGAATGCAGAGTGTTAGTGTAGGAAATGCAGAGTGTGTCAGTGTAGTGAATGCAGAGTGTGCTTTAGTGTAGTGGATGCAGAGTGTGTGTTAGTGTAGTGGATGCAGAGTTTGTGTCAGTGTAGTGGATGCAGTGTTTTAGTGTAGTGAATGCAGAGTATGTGATAGTGTAGTGGATGCAGAGTGTGTGTCAGTGTAGTGGATGCAGTGTGTATTAGTGTAGTGAATGCAGAGTGTGTGTTAGTGTAGTGGATGCAGTGTGTTAGTGCAGTGAATGCAGAGTGTGTGTTAGTGTAGTGGATGCATTGTGTTAGTGTAGTGAATGCAGAGTGTGTGTTAGTGTAATGAATGCAGAGTGTGTGCTAGTATAATGAATGCAGAGTGTGTGTTAGTGTGGTGAATGGAGAGTGTGTGTTAGTGTAACGAATGCAGAGTGTGTGTTAGTGTAGTGAATGCAGAGTGTGTGTTAGTGTAGTGAATGCAGTGTATGTTAGTGTAGTGAATGCAGAGTGTGTGTTAGTGCAGTGAATGCAGAGTGTGTGTTTACTAGTGTATGCATGTTGTGCAAATGGAGCATTTTCCCCTCCCCCTACATTAAATGTAATAACTGTTATTCCCCCCTCCCTGCTTCTTACCTGGGAGAGGGAAGAGCTGTAAAGTACTGCTGCAGTCTGCTGGGCCCCCCGCTGCAAATACATGAAGCTGGGGGGCCGCGGCTGCATATATATATAGCAATCATCGCTTTATATATGTGCAGAGAGGGAATGTGGGGCCCAGGACTGCCGGGCCTGTGCCAACCGTCATGGTTGTCACCCCCTGATGGCGTCCCTGACAGCGGTACTTGGCTGCGACCGCTATGGAACTAATTTCAGCATGAGGACTTCGTGGTTCCTGGTCACCTTAGTGGTACTTAGCCGCTAATGCTATGGAACTATTTTTGGCTAGGTGATCTTGCAGTTCCCGGACAACTTGGTCCGGGATTTTGAACCACTTTGCGACCCGCCATGAGAGTGCTTTTTGGAGGGAAGGGGAACAAACACTTCCAGGCAGCGCACCCCATATGGCGGCCGCAGGTGCTCCCGTAAGTTAACCGGCCAAAGCACCAAACGCTCTGGAACTATTTGGGACATAGTACCACGTGTGCAGCCGGTCAGAACTTTGTCGCGGTGGCATTTCCCCAACACTGCATGGATCAGAGTGCTATTTGGACAACGTGGGCACTCAGATCAGGGCTGTTTGGGGATTTAGGACAAGTGGGATTATTGTATGTTTATATTATGTTTTGGGGTACTTTTATGTTTTATGCGGCGGGAGAGAGGACACTGGCTGTAGTGCATAGAGAGTGAGATACTGGGGCTGGGGAAAAATGTCAAAGCCTGCAAGGCATTACAGGGATACTACAGTGTTAGGAATAAAAAGCTGTATTCATAATACTATATCTCCCTTTGCCTCCCCCCTCTCGCCCCTTTATTTACTCACTTGACTACAGCGTTGATGTCCCTTGGTGCTGAGTGAGTGCTCCACCTCCTTTAACATTATCTGACGGGGGTGGGGGGCTAATGTGCATGGGTGGAAGCGTATTAGGCTCTCCCCATAGAAAAGCACTGAATCAATGCTTTACTATGGGGGTATAACTGATGCTCAGGGGTGTACCTAGAGCATCTGGCACCCGGGGCGGATCCTGTGCTTGGCACCCCCCCCCCAAAAAAAAAAAATCTGTAAAAAATGTTAAAAGTTTTCTTTCTTTTTTTTTATATAATTTGTAAACTTTGCAGAACCGCTGTCAGCCCCTCATACAAAACCCTTGTCCTGCCCCCCCCTCCTACAAAACCTCTGTCCTGCCCCTTCTACAAATCCTGTACTGCCCCGTCTACAAAACCTGCGCAACCCCCTTCCACAAATCCCCTGCTTATAAAGACTCCTGTCCCAATACAAAAACCCCGCCCCCTTCTACAAAATCCCTGCAGCCCCACACACACATTTACAGGCAGACAGTCTAACACTCAGTTACAGGCAGACAGTCACACACAGTTACAGGCAGACAGTCACACGCACACACACAGTTACAGGCAGACAGTTACACACAGACAGTCTCACACTCACACACACACACAGACACACACTCTTACTTACAGACAGTGGGATGGAGGAGGACTGGATTCCCTGAAGTCCTTCTCTGAAGCCTGTGGAGAAGCAGAGATTCCATCTTGCTGCACCTCCTAACAGCAGTGGGTAAGGGCCATATTAAGCCCCGCCCCCAGTGCCAGTTTGGCTCCGCCCCAATTTTGCTTAGCTCAGCCCTCCCTCCGTGCGGCCAGTTTATCAGCTGTTTGCTTGTGTGAGCTGTACTGGCCGCACGGCACCCTAACTACCATGGGGCACTGTGCGGCCACAGCTCACACAGCCCCCTCCACCCAGGGCCGGTGCAAGGATTTTTGCGCCCTAGGCAAAAGTAAAGTTTGCCGGCCCCCCCATGTGACATCACAATGCCCCACCCATATGATTTGCCATGTTAACTAACGCCAGTGCTGCAGTGCCGCCGTGTTTACATTAAAAGGCCTGCAGGGACAGGCTATAGACACCAGAACCACTACATTAAGCTGAAGTGGTTCTGGGGACTATAGTGTTTCTTTAATGTGAGGTAAATTAGAGCTTAGTGCCACGAATAATATACTAGATTGCCTACTTACAACCAGATGAGGATGATGATGGGCTCTAGCTGCAGTCTGGCTCCACTGGTCTGGTGTAGAACAGGCTCTCTGGAGGCAGTTTGTAACTGTGGTCACAAAAATCAATGTTCTGGGAGAACGGGAAGCAGCTCCATTTTTTGGGGCACTTTACACAGCTCAAGGTCTGGGTCCGAGGGTCCACCTTCATGTTCCACCAATTAGTTTGTTCACAAGGGGTGGAGTGTGTAGGGGATATCCTGATATGTGTGTAAGGAATGCATTGTGTGAAATTGTGTTTGTATGTGTAAGGGCTGCAAGGTGTGTTTCTGTGTATGTATGGGATGCATTGAATGTGTGTAAGGGGTGCATTGAGTGTGTGTAATGAATGCATTGTGTGTTTCTGTGTGTGTAAGGGATGCATTGTGTGTAACGGTTGCATTGCTTGTGTATGTGTGTCTGTGTGTGTAATGCATTGTGTGTTTTTCTGTGTGCAAGGGGTGCATTGTGTGTATGTGTGTGTGATGAATGTCAATCTCTCCCCCCTCCCAATCTTTCTTTCTCCCCCCCTCCTCCTAATCTTTCTTTCTTTCCCCCCCTCCTCCTAATTTCTTTCTTCCCCCTCCTCCCCCCCTCCTCCTAATTTCTTTCTTCCCCCCACCTCCTCCTAATTTCTTTCTCCCCCACCTCCTCCCCCCTCCTCCTAATTTCTTTTCTCCCCCCTTCCTTCCCCCTTCCCCCACATTTCTTTCACCCCACCTCCTCCTAATTTCTTTCTTCCCCCACCCCCTTCTCATCCCCTTAGTACGCCACTGCTGATGCTGGATGTCCTCATGCAGACCTGTCTCCCACACTGTTACTGGTCTGGCGATTTGCATGCCCCTCCCTTCACTCCCTCTAATCACATCATCCTTTTATACTATTCCTAGGGTGGGCCCTCTTTATTACAGGCCTACTGCTTCGTCGGTTCCGGCACACCACAACTGACTTTTCAGATATGATGTGTTACGTATATACTACTATGTCACTCATTACGGCATTATGCCCTGAACACAAAGTTATATCATGAATTGTAGTTTGTTTTCCTGTGTCACTATCAGGGTTTTTACTACTGAGAATTCAAAGTCAATATCATATGTTAGGCATAGGCAAGATAGCCAGGGAAAACTAAACAAACTAGTGAATAACAGTATCTCATTCTATGTGAGTTTGTAATTCTAATTTATGATCTAATACCTCGTTATTTCTGTTTAATCACTATAATTTAAAGTTCTGCATTCATTTAAATCATGCTAAAGTATTTTGTTCATCAAACATGACTGCCAGAACAATCACAATGGACTCACAGCATAAGTGCTTACTTGCATGTGATTCTTCAGATATTCTTATTCCTTCCATAGTTTATTCCAGAGTCAGCTCGATTCAATGTTTCAGTTGGAAATCACCAGGCAGCCACAGATACTTTACAAAGAATAGCCAAAATAAATCGTTCAAAAATGCCAGAAGGAAAAATCAATGAACCAGTATCGGTAAGAAATATTCTTATAAATGGTAATATACATAACAGCTTTTATTGAACTCTTGATGGAAGCTTCTATGATAAATGCAACTATCTTTATTCGCTGTCCAAACTTGCAGTTTACTAAAGAAAACGGAGACCTTCAGCTATGTTAGTTTGTGTGTGTTATTCCATACGATTTCTGTGTCTCCATGTGGATGTTAAAATGGACCAACTTTTTTCAATGCACAATCATCCCAATGCAGAATCATCAACATTTATTTTATTTTTTTAAAGCACAGTAATTAAAATATATGGAGTGCTGTTGTATATTTTATTAGTTTGTTTGAAAAATAATAGCCTTTTTTTATTCCAGGAGAGTACTGGCAGCTTTTGTGATCTCATACACCCTAAATATATTCGGACATCTCTACAAATATGGGTCATCTGGTAATTAAATAAGTATACTTTCAACAAACTAAACATCAGTTTATCAAAAAGTCATGTATCTGGAGATGCTGTTGGACTGGGGGAGATTTACTTAAATGTGAAAAGAATGAAAGGTTTATTTATTAGAAATTGTCAAATGTATGGTCAGAATAGCCTAAATGGAAAACAATATCCAAGTCAGATATATTTCAATTTTGGAATTAAGTAGAATTTTTTTTAACTGTTTGCGGTACATTTGGAAATGGCTTCACGCCAGAGTGTTTGTTATTTTTGCCTTCTTTTGGATCAACTACAGATGTGTGTATTGTTCAACTTGATGGACTTGAACCTTTTTCAACCTAGATTACAATGTTACTAATGTAGAGTCAGTATTACGCAGAGTTATACTACACATACAATATATGACATTCAGTATGAAAACATTCCCTACTATTATTGAGTTAAAATGTTTGAGTACATCCATTGCTAACAGATGCATAAAATTCAGCATATAGCCATGACATCTTCATTGACACAAATTGGCACCACAATATATCAGAGTCTTTTAATGTGGTACTGTCATAGGATGCTACCTTTGCCACAAGTTAGTTCAAGAAATAAGTCTGCCCCAATCAATTATAAGTGCTATTATTATGAAGTGGAATCATCTAGGAGCATGAACATACGCACAGCATGGGGATGCCAAGTGCTGGTGCATAGCAAGGAAAAATCACCTATCACCTGTTGCATCACTCACTAGAGAGTTCAAAACTGCCTCTAGAATCTACATTAGCAGAAGAGCTGTGCATTGGGAGCTTTATGAAATGGGTTTCATGACCAGGCAAGTATACACAAGCATCACATCAAGGTGTGAAAAGCCAAGAATTGGCTGAAATGATATAGAGCCTGTACTGCTGGCTCTATACCATTTGGAATAATGAATCATGCTTCACTGTCTGGTCATCTGAATCTGAGTGTGGTGGATGCCAGGAGAATGCTTCCTACTGGAATGCATAGTGCCTCCTGTAAATTTGGGAGGAGGAGAGATAATGGTTTAGGGCTGTTTTTCGGGCTTTAGGCTAGACACCTTAGTTTCAGTGAAGAGTCATCTTTATATTTCAGGATACAAATACATTTTAGGCAATTAGGCACTTCTCACTTTGTTGCAAGAGATTTGGGGGTCCTTTCCCGTTAAAAACAGAAAGCTGAATTGCTTGATCTTCTCCATACAGAAGAAGAAAGATGCCCCAATCCAAAGATCAGGATAAATTACCTTTATTCCAATGAAGAGGACATACACTAGGATATACAGGAGGGAGCAAAGGAACCACCTTACCTGTTCCAGCTTGACAGTTCCCCTGTGCATAGAGCAAGGTCCTTGAAGATATGGTTTGACAAGTTTGATTGGGAGGAACTCAAGTGACCTGCACAGTGACCTGACTTCAACTCTATTGAGCACCGTTATTATAAATTTGAAATCTAGCTGTGTACCTCACCTCACATATGCTCTTGACTGAATGTCCCACATCCCAAAATCTTGTGGCAGCTAGTATAGCCGCAAAAGGGAAGCCAACTCCTTATTAACCCCCATGATTTTGGAATGTGATGCCCAACATACTTTTGGATATATATATAGACCTAGTAATATATATATAGACGTAGTAAATATATTTAGAGACCTAGTAAGGACCTAAGCTATAACACAGATATATAGTTTTGGTAAAAAGTTGAACGGTGTCACATATATAAAAAGCTAGTTAATAATCAGAATGTTAAGCATTCGACTTGTGCACATTCAGTTATTATTATTAGTAGTAGTAGTATGTATTAAGCGCCAACAAATTCCGTAGCGCTGTATAATGGGTGGACTAACACAGCCGTATTTGTAACCAGACACGTTTGACGCACAGGAGGAACCAAGGGACTGAGGGCCCTGCTCATTGAGCTTACATGCTAGAGGGAGTGGGGTACAGTGACACAAAAGGTAAGGGTAGAAAAGTAGATTGCAAGGATAGTATTCACTGAGGGCTTAGTGTTTTGTTTTGATGACAGTTTCAGGAGAGGAATCAGTTATGATGAACTAATCAAATTAATTTGGTAAACCACAAACTAATTGATTTGTTCATCCAACTATTAACACGCTTTTGATTCTGAAAAACATTTCTGCACAAGTTTATTGAGCATTATTAACAACATAATTTTTTTTTTTTAATTTGTATTTTATTGAATTTCGTGCTAAAGAGCAGACATTCACATCAGTGTATGATAATTGAAAATAATACATAACACATATAACAACACTGGACACATACTCTGTTTGTGTTACAACCTCTTTTGCATTTTCTTAATTAATTGTATTTGCTTAATTAATGTGTGTCATGTTTCCCTTGTCACCTCAAGCTTGGGGATGCTGGCCTCGCCGTGTGGCAGTGTTGTTGCCTGGTGGTCAGGTGTATGGGTTTTTGGTTGAAGTAACCCTTTAACCAACTTGTTTACCGTGTTACTCCCGCCATCACACTAGAATGATACTTTTTTTTTTTTCCCAGAGCCATCTTGCTTTTTCACTTGCTTGTGAACTCTCAATGGAAGGGAAAAGTTAGAGAAATTTGTATAACAACCACACACTTCACTTTACATCAGGCACCTTTTATTTGTAAACAAAATGCATGATGTGTTAGTAAAATGTAAAGATCCCATCTTTAGTATATTCACTGATGTAACGTTCAACTCCTTTTTAAAGATTTTTCATAGACGAATGCAAGATCTTGAAAGTCTCGTTAGAGTTGATTGACACAAATTCTACAGCAAAAGTTAAATATAGTTTTGCATCATGTACCAAGAAAAATGTATGTCTTTTTTCAGGCTTGGAATATCTTTTGCCTATTACGGGGTCATCCTAGCAAGCTCAGAGCTTTTGGCGCGCAATCTACTATGTGGCACAGGGAATAAAGCAGAGGAGGAAGTATTACAGGAAGCCAAAACCCCCTGTTACTGTCATATGCTTAGTCCTTCTGACTATCAAACCATGATTATCAGCACTGTTGGAGAGATTGCATGTAAGTCAGTCTTTGGGAAATAGTACATCAGACAGGAGCCTTAAATTATTAAAACATTATTTATGTACAGACAGCAATCAGGTAGGAAAATGCATTATCGTTTATTGTTATCAATAATAATTCTAACAGCATAAGAAAAAGAAGACATTTCAGAGATGTTTTTAAACTACCCAATCTCAGAAAGAAGTTGGTGCAATAACTATAATATTTCAGTATTGCCCACTGAATTTCCTGGGTTAGTCACTAAAGTGAGAATTGCTGAGAATTGAAACTGAATTTCCAATTAAAAGCCAAAGTAGCAGAATTGGTAGCGTAGCTGACTTAGTTATTTTCAAGTTAAATTCCACTATTTTGGCCTTAATGTTAAATTCCAGATAAATATCACATTAGTGAATAACCCTCTTGTAAAGGTTATAGACACATACCTCCCAACATTCAGGATAGGGGGCATTCCAGAGACACCACCTTCATCACTGGCAAAGCCCAAAATTGGCAGATTTTCCCACATTTACATCTCCAATGATACTGTGGCTATAATTGTAGTTCACTTAAAACGTATTATGTCAATTGGTCTTCAGCAACTGTTATTTAAGAGCATACTTCCCTACCAATATCTAAACTTTTTTTAAAAATCAGTTATTTGTTATCGTTAATTTATGTAAGGCTGTTATCTCACTAATTCCAGAAAATGTTTAACCCTCTCATTTTTGCCCCTGACGACGGCGTGAGAGCACACTGAAACACGTGTCGGACATATGTCACACACTTTTTATTTGACACTACATGGGTAGTACAATGGGCACCTTGTTTTAGGTCTATTCTGCTTATAAATGCAAACAAATGGTGAGCCGCGCTTAGCAATTAAAAAGGATTATACATACAATCAACGGAGGAGGACAATTGTGAGACGTATCTTTAACAAAGAAATGTACAATAGTATAATACTGTAAGAAATGCAGTAGTTATAAAGACAGTGCCAATAGACTTTCCAGAGCTTCAATTAATTCTAATATTGCACGCCAGGACGGAACAATCCCCGTCCAAGGATATGATGTCACTACTCTCCTCTTTAGGGAGGAATATTGGGATTCTTTTTCTATTGAACTAATTTAGGGTTATCCCCTGCTAGGGAGCATAGTATATGTGATTTTCATGAGGCGGGACCTAGTGTAACAGGTAGGCACTGAGTCTCCTCTCTACTATATCCATTATTATTTAAAATTTAAATGTGTTTTTACACTGCTATTTTTACCTAAATTGTTCAAGTAGTGGTCAAGTTCACCACAAACCACTGTTTAGTAAAAGTCCCTTTAAGCAACAGCAGCTCATATTCACTTCACAAATGTATACCATAAAAGTTTCAAGTAGTTTGACATAGCAAATAATATTTTTTCTATTCATACAGTAAATCCTTTTAACATACTGTGCATTAACCTTCTTGGACGACGTTGGACACTTGGCATCACCATGACCACAACAGGAATCTTCTTTCTGCTCCTTAACATCTGCATGTCACGGTGAGTGTATTCTGCAAAGATTGGAGAATGAAAGAAATGAAAGTAATGATATCTACTAACAATGGTCAAAATTCAGAACATTAGTTTTGTGCATGTGGCATTTAAGTTTAGACAAATTTCATCTAAGCGATTGATTCAGGAGAAACAAGAAACGGTTGTCAACCGAGCAGGCAGAATAGTCACACAGGACAAGCAAAATACACAGATAGATAGTACTGGACAATGTACAGAGAATGAGCAATGTCAAGATACAAGTCAAATATCAGGGAATGTAGAGGTACACAGAATCAAAAAAACAAGCCAGTGGTCAGGAATACGGAAATCAGATTGGTTGAGACAAGCAGGGATAAATAAAACTTGCATCAAGCAATTAAGGAATGTAATCATATGTCTGGGGTGTCATGAAGTGGACATGGCTTTGTGATACCATAAAATGGGGGCTAAAGCATCTTGCATCAGAAAAGCGTTTGAGAGAAACTGATTTGGTGCCTACTCTGGGAGATAAGGGCACCAGGTGAGTGGAGTAGCGCAAGGGTTTCCATCCTTGCATGGGGCCATGCCAATTAACGGTTCTGGGGCCCTAGGCTATGTCCAGTTGGTAAGAAAGACCCCCTTTTACAGGTATTATATGTACTTGGTCCCCTCTTACTAATGTTAGGGTGAGGAGGTATGTTGGATTTTTTGGTAATGTTGGATGGGGGCTTGGGTTCACCCAGCCACTTGGGAGCAGACACAGTTGGCCCTGACTTTGGGGGATGGACATGCTACTGGCCATGCACTCTATGTTCTAATAATCTCTGCCACTCATGTGGGACAGTGGCATATCCCCCCTACTCTTTGGTTATTATAGTATTAGATCCCATTCTTGGGCATAATTCAGACGAATCATGATTGCCAAAAATGTGGATGAATCTCAATTTGTCCAATACCAAATGAACAAATCCGTTCTGGCTTGATAAAGGCCTTGAGGTGGGGTCGAAACGTTCCACACAGGTGGAATAAATCTTTATTTATTTTGGTGTTGTGGCTCCTTATTGTTTTTTTATGCGGTTCTGGATTTGAGCTGCTAGTTGTGGTTCTCAACTTCTGCAACCTGGGGTCAATGGGTTGCATCAACTGAAAACATGCTGTTCACTGCTGAATCTCTGTCCAGAGCAACAGGTGAGATGTGAATGCACATTATATTTTGACATCCCCATCTCCCCCCACACAAACTACAGCCACAATTCCAACTAAACACACACTGCATCTCCTTTCTTACCAAACACAAACTACAACCCCTAGCCCCAACACACATTATAGCCCCTATGCAAACCAAACACAAACTACAGCCCCTAACCCCCAACACACATTATAGCCCCTATACCACCCAAATACACACTAAAACCCCTATCTACCTTATTCAAATGTACATACACATACTACACAATAAACAGCTCCATCCATACACACACAACCCTTCTAAAACCTCCCTTCCACACACACACACACAACCCCACAAGCAGCCTCACCTAACATTCACAACCTCACAAACAGCCTGGCCAGAAAAAAGAAATACACCAAACACGTCCTATTTACCCATCCAATAGCATACACCAAACTTTTTTGCATATGTGTATATATGAAGCTACTGGAGAGAAAGGGTTCATTGAGAAAACTAGACAGCAAGAAAGGTAAATCCGGCTAGCGTGAGGAAACTAAATGCACGGCTCTCTCCAATTAGAGATTTAACCCCTTTTGGTATTTAAAGGATAGTTAATACAAAAATGTGAATCCTTTGCGGTAGTAACATCACTGCAAATTTGTGATTTCTGTTGGAAAATCAAGTCTTATGGCTTCACTGGTGTGTAGATTTTTTATTAACATTGTATTAACTATCAACAGACTTCAGATGGAAGGGGTTTTTAATCACAATTTTTTTCCCACCATAACTTTTTTGGTTTTTGCTTCGCAAACGTTGGTGGCTGTGTGATTTAAGATTTACAGTATAACTGATTGTGTAATACTATTTACTTCATTTTAATTTATTAATTTTTGGGGACTGTTAGTGTTATGGTTTAGGCTCTCTGCCTTCCTTCTCCCTCTGGGATTGTAGGGAGTTAATTTTCTCTCTCCTACTTTTTCCCTCTGGGGTTCAGTCCTCTCTGCTTTTCACCCATTTTCTGACCGCACGGGTATTGTACTGCTCGGGGGTTTCTGGAGCCTGAGCCCCGGGACCGCGGAGTATGTCTCCAGCGGTCCAGTGTGTGCTTCCTCCTCCGGTTGCGAGGTGCTCGCGATCGAGCGCACTACCTGCCGACCGGAACTCCCTCACGTGGCCGCCGGTCATGGCCAGCTCGATCCGCGGACCGCGTGTGTCCGTCGGGTGGAGGATGGAGGGCTGAACACTTGCCCCCTCTCCCGCCCGTTAGTTAAATCCGTTCCCATTCGCACGTGTGTGCTGTCCTGCAGTGGGGTTCCCATACTGATAAAGACCGTGGCCTGAGTCCTATCTATATACTGGTGGTTTGGGGGTGGTAACACCCCTTACTTCCCTACATTTAACCCTAGCACTACTGTGAGGCTGCTGGTGTTGGACATGTATCAGTAATAACAGTGGCTGTGTGGATTATGTCTGCATGGTTGTATATGTCACAGGGGTTATTTGTGCTGAGGGTTATTCACTGCTGAGTTTCTACACCAGCATTTATGTGCCCTAGGGGAGTTTTCACTGTGTCCCCACTGTACTATATCTGTGACCTACATTGGACTTTAGCATGGGTCTGTCAGGATCCTTATTTTATTAAATAGGAGCGCTCCAGTATCAGTGACCCCTATACTGTCTTACACCACTCATATGTGACCTGGCCTGCTCTATCTGTGTCACATGTCCTGGCCTGCTATGTCTGTGCCCCTATGACTGGCCTGCTGTGTCTGTGCCCCTATGACTGGCCTGCTTTGTCTGTGCCCTATGACTGGCCTGCTTTGTCTGTGCCTATAAAATTGGCCTGCTCTGTCTGTGCCATTTTGACCGGCCTGCTCTGTCTGTGCCCACTGACTGGCCTGCTCTGACAGTGCCCTATTGCTGAGCCGGTGCTTGTCCGTGCCTAAATCCTTATGGCCGCTGGCCTAGGATATTATCTGGGGAGAATTTTATACTGGGGTCCGCTGTGACCATGCTGTAGACACTGGGAATTGTATCCACATACATTGCTACCATAATAACTTGGTGACACCTGTCATTTCTACCCCCAGGGTCACGCTACGGTCAGGATATGGACGCTCCGACCCAAGAGAGCATGCAGGTGATGATCAACGCTGCCGTTGCCACTTCTGTGGAGAAAGCGCTCTCACACGCTCTACCCCAGTCATCCCAAGATAGGGATATTTCGGAGACTCAGCGCATGCTGATAGATTGCGGCCCTGACTCACTGGACAGAGACCAGTCACGCGCATCTAAGCGCTACTGGAAGGGTGAATGCCCTGAGCCAGCTACCTGGAAGGGTAAGGCTCCTGCAAAATGACCCAGGTGGGCGACCGCTTCATCTCCGACACGCCCAAGATTCTTCCCCGAAGAGGAGGAAGAATTCACTCTCCCCGCACCCCTGTCCATCCTGGATGAATGGCGGGCGGATCAGTCCCCCTCGGAGGACGAAGGCGAGTGGGGTGGGGAAGAACCGGAGGAGTTGGTGTACCAACAGGACGCCGGTGAAACTGCTTCACAACACCTACACTCCTTTGGGGAGGACGTGTTCTTGGATGCAACGGGCGAACCCTTATTCGACCCGCGCACCATCCGGCACCCCCGGTTTTCTGAGTGGTCCCTACCCGAACATCTGGCCCAGTTCGTCCATTATTGGGTTCACAGACCCCTCGATTGGGCAGTTTGGAAGAGGTTGAGGGCGGAGTGCCCCAGATCCACCTTACCAGACAAGGTCGCTATGACGCCCGAATTCGACCCAATGGTCTCCACCTATTTGGCCCGGACCGGTCGCGATCCTAAGAAAGGGGTCAAACGCAGCCTCCGCCTTGCACAAGATAAGGTGCTTGACATGTTGGGGCCGTTGGCCCGGATCCTTACCATGTCGGATGAGACTATCTCACAAGGCCATCAGAGATTGGACATTAAGCTCCATTTGCCTGCTGGGCAACTACAACGTGGCATTATGCACGGAGCAGAGGAAGGTGGTCCTCATGCGCATGTACGCTAAATTGTTGGAGTTGGGGTCCAAGGAGCTGGGACCGTTGACCAAAGGACTACTATATGGGGAGCCCTTCATCAAGGAGCTCCAGAGGCATGTTAACCTCTATTCTACTCTAAATAAGGTGCAATAATCAATGAGGAGAGTGTTCCGCTCTCAGACCTCTCGTGTTTTTGGCAGGGCTGGAAGGCAGCGGGGTCGTGCCTCCAGTCGCTTCTGGCCTTCCAGCCACCGAGGATCCCGGACACCATCCTTTTTTCCCCAGCTACCGCTCTGGGTCCTTCACCTCCTGGAGGTTGGACCGTGGCAGAGGAAACCGGGCGCATGGACGAGGCAGAATGCCCACAGGTGAGACATATTACACCGCATGTTTTTCCCAGGCCTTTGCATGCCAGCAGGTTAAGTTTTTGTCTCTACAGGTGGCGGGACATTTCTTCGGACGCATGGATACTCCAAACGGTCCGAGGTTACGTTATAGATTTCCATTCACCGCCAGTCCAGGAGATATCCCCCCAGACTCCGGTATCGTCGAGAGAACTACAGGTCCTGGTGGATGCCGAAATACAGGCCTTATTCGACAAAGGGGCAGTTCAGTGGGCGCCAGACGAAGAAGGCTTCTTCAGCTCCATTTTTCCAGTCAGGAAGAAGACAGGAGATTTCCGTCAGGTTATAAACCTGAGGAACCTGAACACCTTCATTTCCTATCAACACTTCAGATGGAGGGCATCCATCTATTAAGAGACTTACTGCGCCCAGGGGATTGGTTCACTTGCCTAGACCTAAATGACGCATATCTATCCGTTCCGGTGGAATCCAGTTGCCGGCAATTTCTACGCTTCATTTGGAAAGGGAGGCCATGCCAATTCACCTGCCTCCCCTTCGGCCGCAGCTCGGCACCATAGTGTTTCACCAAACTGTTAAAACCGGTAACAGCATGCCTGCGCTCCAGGGGCATTCGATGCCTGATATATCTGGATGATTTACTTCTTTTCTGCGAGGACGCCTCCAGGCTGAAATCTCAGACGTCTACATGGTCTCCTTGTTCAAATCCCTGGTGTTTGTGGTCAACCAAGAGAAGTCGACCCTCACGCCTATGCAAGTAGTTCAGTTTTTGGGATTCGAAATAGATGTGACTCAATGCATCCTACGCCTCCCTCAGACCAAAATCACGCCCATTCAGAGAGATCCGACGGATCCTGCGCCAAGAAATGATCCCACTCAGGGTCTTGGCATGAGTGGCTGGCCTCTTGTCCGCATCGATCCAAGCCATCTACCCGGGTTCCCTTCACTACAAGGCCCTGCAGCGCCCGAAAGCGTGCTTCCCATGCCAGAAACCATTGTACAGCCAACTGATTTCCATCACGCAGGAAGTCAAGACCGAACTTCACTGGTGGCTGTTACACATGTCAGCCTTGAACGACAAGGCGATTTTCGGACCGACCCCGGACTTTGTCCTAGAATCGGATGCAAGCCTATGGGGCTGGGGAGCGACCTGCACAACCGCCTCCACGGGAGGTCCCTGGTCAAGCACGGAGGCAGGATATCACATCAACTGCCTGGAAATGATTGCGGGCTCATTTGCTATATGCAGCCTTGCGGTGCAGTATATCAACCGTCTGGGAGGGGCCCGCTCACGGACACTGACTGAAGTCACAAAGGAGATTTACAACATTTCCCTTCAGCGCAATATCTCTCTCCAGGCAGAGTATGTTCCAGGAGTGTCGAACCTGACGGCAGACTGGTTCTGCAGACACTGGAGGGATGCCAGCGATTGGCAGCTACATCCACCAGTCTTCCTCAAAGTGGCGCGACAAAGGGGCCCATTCACAGTGGATCTGTTCGCTTCCAGAATGAACTTCCAGATCCACTTCCAGAATTATTTCAGCTGGCTCCCGGATCCGACGTGCGCAGCAGTGGATGATTTCCTTCAGGACTGGCTGTAACGGATCGACGGGTACCCCGAGTGGGTAACTCCATTGAAGGATGCTTCTAGCGCTTCCTGAGGACTCCAAGCACTGCAGCAGACACCATAACCACCGTAGACTCCTCCAGAGAGCAAGGCAGGAACAAGCTCTTACAAGAGCTTAGTAGTGATTTAGCAAGGGAGTATGACAAGCATAGCAATCCCTTGTAGCAGATTCCCCCAATAAGAGACAGGACTCAGATTGAGGGTGAAGTAGAACTGACTGTACTGGCACATACAGCCTCTTTTATTTACAATCCACAAACATAGTACTGCCCACAGGGTTTTGAAATACAACCAATCAATCCGTACAATACACACAGACACTCCCACACAAAATCCTCCCCTCTGCCTGTGATATGATTACTGAACACAATGGTTACTATAATTATCACAGGCAGAGAAATACAGTTTTTAAAAAATATTAATAACTTCAAAAATATACATGCCACAAACATAAAAATTACATATTAGAACTCAGCACACTTTAATTATAAACATATCCAAAAGTGAACCAATTCTATGCAGGGGATAAAAGGTTAGCTGGAGGTCCCTTTTTGATCGACCGCAAGCACATTTTCATGCCCAAAACAGTTCCATAGATTTGGGCTGTGCGGTCGGTCTATTTCAGGCTGAAAAAACGACTAAGTCCCATCGCCGCTCAGCGGTGTTCGCGGAACTGTGTAGCCGATTTCAGTTCCATGAATTTGGCTACACACACCGCTGACCGCATTGAATAAAAAAAGATGGACGCCGCCACATGTTCGTTTGCGCGAACGGTGGCCCACCAGCATTCGGCAATTTACCTACAGCAGGCTCCCAGCCTGGGAGGTAAATTGATACCAGAAAGTTGGAGTGCGCTAGCAACTGCACTGGAGTCAGGATATAGTGCAGACTATCTGTATATACAGGGTATGCAAAATTAAAAGTATATCTGGGGATCAACTCACATGGACCAGAGCCCTATCACGCCTGGCTCTGGGTTTGAATTGCTCCAATGGAGAGGGATAAACCCACAGTATAGCAAAACAGGATACTCTTCTGAATCAGATGTAATATCTAGGCAGTATAAACAAATAGAGAGGCAGGAGCCCAAATTGAATAGTATCAAACACAGTATTTATTTAAACAAAAGGTTAAAAACTCTTACTTGAAGTAGTGGGTTTGCCAGCAATAAACCCAAACAAGTCTGGGGACACTGGGGACACAGTTTTAAAGGGGCCTTGTCCCAAATAGGTCTGGGGACACAGATTTAAAGGGGGCATTGTCCCACATTTTCGCCGTGCCCCAAAATGGTTCTTAAAGGGCTAGCAGCACCATACAAATCCAATATACCCAAATATTGTACTTAAAGGGCCACATCTTCCCGGGACCATAATCACTGGGTATGAGGCGGGCCAGCAGCCCCCTCCAAGAATACATGGCAAACTCCGTTAAAGGGGCGAGTTTGCTACATTTCTCCCCTTTCCCATTGAGACTATCCAGACTCTGGACCAGCTGTCCAGCATCGCTGTGGGCCAGGTACAGAGACCTGGGTCCCATCTGTACTGTCCGGGGGTTCCGTATCTCCCATTGGTGGGATACGCTGTCGCTGGGGAGAAGGGGTAACAGGCTCCTCTCCCTGCAACACTCCCTCTCGCTGGAGGGGGGACCGATTGTCTCCCTTTTCGATAAATTGTCCTCCTGTTGGGAAGTGAGATCAGCCGTCTCCCCTTCCAATAACATGCTCAGCCGCTGGGGAGTGAGACCAGCTGTCTCCCCTCCCTGTAAGTGTCACATCATGCCTTGTTCTGCGGATCAGTCTGGTGATGGCTTCTGGTATCCAGTACTCTTTTTACAATTCTTGTGTAGTTTTTCTTGGTTTTTTGGTTTTCTATTCCATGTCTGGTTTTCCTTATGCTGGGTTTTCTGGGTTCATTCCATTATTACGTCCCTGGAATTCCCAGTTTCCTGGATTCATTTATATGTTTGTTTTATGTTGCCACACCCGTTTGTTTTCTATTTTACTTTTGTTTCAGTCTGGACCTGCAGCAGTGGTTCAAGTCTCTGCCCTTTCTTGCAGGTAAGTGCTATTGTGGTTTAGCGAACATTAGGCAGTGTAGGACCTGCCGAATATGAGGTACATTGGCGTTGTGGCAGGCTTATGCAAAGTATGATTATATAATGTAACTAAATCCCCATACTTTTCATATATAGTGCTTAGTTATGTCTCCTCTTGTTCTGCCTATTATATCTTGTCTTGTTTTAGTTTGTATTCCCAGTCCATGTACAGTCCTGTCCTGCCCCTGTTTAGTTAATGTTCCCTTATGTATTGTGTACATGTTCTGGGTATAGCTTCCTATCCTTCTCTGGTTCTGGGTTCTCCTAGTTCTGTCTTGTTTTCATGTTTGGTGACTATCCTAGCCTTGTCTTGTTTCTGTACTGGAAACATTCTTGCTGCAGAGCCTCCCTATTCAGCTCCTGGGAGATCTGCTTATTTCCTGCTCCTAGTTCCTAGGATCTGCATAAGCTAATCAGGGTTCTGGTATGTGGCTGCACAAACACTGGTGCTCAACACCAGGGGGCGTGCGGTTACCCTGCACCAGACCCTGCTATTCCTCCTCCACACTATGACTCCTACACTTATCATCAGGCATACTGGGTCCCGGTCCTCGCACCGCCGCCCGGACAGTGTCTGGATCCCGGGCACCGGACCACCACCCATGACAGTAAGACACTTTACCGCTGGGGAGAGAGACCGACTGTCTCTTCTCCCAGTAGCACCTGCTGCCGTGGGGAAGTGAGACCGATTGTCTCTCCTTCCAATAACATGCTCAGCCGCTGGGGAGTGAGACCAGCTGTCTCCCCTCCCTGTAAGACACTCTGCCGCTGGGGAGAGGGACCGCCTGTCCCTTCTCCCAATAACCCCCTTGGTTTCTGGAGATGGAGGACAACACTCTCCTCTCCTGGTATCACACTTGGCCGTTGGAGAGGGAGGACAGCACTCTCCTCTCCCTGGGTTGCACACTGTGGAGAGGGACTGACTGTACCTACTCTTACCATATCTATCTGTGGTTGGCCATCTGGGCCGGCTGCCCAGCATCTTTGTAGGGCCGGTGGAGAGATCTCTGTCTTCCCTCAACCTGTCAGCTGAGGGTCTTCCCAGGATCAGTCGATAAGGTCTCCCACCTCTGTGTCTGGTTGGGGGGTAGGTGGTACAGACCCCAGGTCTCCTGATGACGGGCTTAGTTGTTGGGGAGGAGGGATGAAACTCAACGCTCCCAACGGTGTACAGTCAATCAGCCCCGTCAGGTTAGAAACAGGTGGTGTTACTGCATCAAATAAAAGGGCATAATCCTGTTCGAACTGCAACTGCTCTGGTGGTACCTGTAGGGTATAGGGTGACTGACTGACTGGAGCTGATCAGGTGCTGGTAGTCCTGCTCCAGTTCCCATTCCTGGACAGCCAATTCAATCAGGTCTGGCCTTAGGTCTTCAGCCATAGGGAGGTCCAGCATGGCCTCTCTGTAGGCAAATATGTCCCAAAGTCATGAATCTGCCTCACTCCCAAAGTCCGGTTCTGCAAAGGCACCCCACAATAAAGGAGGGCTATTTGTAATCCTTGCCCTCTGGTCTGTCGAATTTGGCCATTCCGGGAACACGCTGAACCGCGTACCAACGTAGCGCTTGGTATGCATCGTTGATGCCCAGTTCCCTCCATGCCAGTGAATTAAGCTGTATCACCAATTCCTCCCGGGGCTGTTCTCCCAGCATAGGCATCCATTCGGGCTTGTAGTCGCTGCTCCTTGCTGGGGAGACGCTCACCTCGCCAACGCTGGACACCCTCTAGGGTTTCTTCCGACATCTCTTGTCGGGCGCCCTCTCTGCAGTCCAACCTGGTTGCCTCTACTATTGGCTTATCCAGTGGGGCCAAGAGGTTCTGTAACCTCTGGTTAAACTCTTCCTCCATCTCGAGCGTTGTCCAGGGACTTGCTGGCTGTATGCCACTCCATAATAATTCTGGTGTCTCCAGGGTGCTGTTCCTCTCACACCAGGATGCCATCCCACCGCTGCCATCAATGTAACGGATCGACGGGTACCTCCGTTGAAGGATGCTCCTAGCGCTTCCTGAGGACTCCAAGCACTGCAGCAGACACCATAACCACCGTAGACTCCTCCAGAGAGCAAGGCAGGAACAAGCTCTTGAAAGAGCTTAGTAGTGATTTAGCAAGGGAGTATGACAAGCATAGCAATCCCTTGTAGCAGATTCCCCTAATAAGAGACAGGACTCAGATGGAGGGTGAAGTAGAACTGACTGTACTGGCACATACAGCCTCTTTTATTCACAATCCACAAACATAGTACTGCCCACAGGGTTTTGAAATACAACCAGTCAATCCGTACAATACACACAGACACTCCCACACAAAATCCTCCCCTCTGCCTGTGATATGATTACTGAACACAATGGTTACTATAATTATCACAGTTATTATATTAATAACTTCAAAAATATACATGCCACAAACATAAAAATTACATATTCGAACTCAGCACACTTTAAATATAAACCTATTCAAAAATCAGCCAATTCCATCCAGGGGTTAAAAGGTTAGCTGGAGGTCCCTTTTTGACCGACCGCAAGCACATTTTCATGCCCAAAACAATTCCATAGACTTGGGCTGTGCGGTCAATCTATTTCAGGCGAATGGGACTTAGTCTCTGCAGCTGCAAAATCATTGTGGGAGAAGGTAAGGCTCAGCAGTGTTTGCGGAACTGTGTAGCCGATTTCAGTTCCATGAATTTGGCTACACACACCGCTGACCGCATTGAATAAAAAAAGATGGCCGCCGCCACGTGTTTGTTTGCGCAAACGGCGGCCCCCCCAGCGTTCGGCAATTTACCTACAGCAGGCTCCCAGCCTGGGAGGTAAATTGCCTGCACACTTCCAGTTCTGGGTGGTCCACCTGTGCAGTGAATGGCTCGGTAAGCCCCAATTACCGAACCATAAGGGAAAAGCCATTTAAAAGTTATTTCCAAAGTCTGGGGATATTGGGGACACCATCTTAAAGGGGCAGTGTCCCAAACAAGTCTGGGGACACAGTTTTAAAGGGGCCTTGTCACAAATAGGTCTGGGAACACAGATTTAAAGGGGCACTGTCCCAAATTTTCGCCATGCCCCAAAATGGTTCTTAAAGGGCTAGCAGCACCATACAAATCCAATATGCCCAAATATTGTACTTAAAGGGCCACATCTTCCCGGAACCATAATCATTGGGTAGGAGGTGGGCCATCAGCCCCCTCCAAGAATACATGGCAAACTCCGTTAAAGGGGCGAGTTTGCTACACTGGCCGTCACAGGGAGCCTATGCATTTGCACCGTTCACTATGATCTCCAGGGTCCTACTCCAGTTATGGCGGCAACAAGTATCGTTGGTGTTGCTGATGTCTCTTTAGCAGGGCCAAGCCTGGTTCCCAGAATTGCTGGAGCTGTCATGTCGGGACCCGCTTCTTCTCCCGTCTCCACAAATGCTCCTGTCGGATGCATGAGGCAACCATCATCCCCTCGTACTGGAAGGCCACCTCCACTTGGTGGCTTGGACTCTTTCCGGGCTACCTGGCATGTCAATGAGCTATTGGGATCAGCTAGAAACCTCCTCTGGGACTCCTGGGCCCCAGGAACGAGGAGATGTTATCTGTCCGCCTGGAACGTTTGGTGTCATTGGTGCGTAGAACGGAGTATCGATCCCTTTACAGCACCTATATCCAACGTACTGAATTTCCTTTCTCACCTCTTCGACCAAGGGAAGTCGTATCGTTCAGTTAACGTTGCCAGGTCGGCCATTTCAGCGGCTCATGTCTCTCTTCAGGGGACGCCCATTGGACAAGACCCCTTGGTTTATAGATTGTTGAGAGGGATCAGACTGTCACGTCCTCCGGCTCCTAAATATTCATCGCTCTGGGACGTGCACCGGGTTTTGGATTTAATTCAGACGTGGCCGGAGAATCAGGACCTTTCTCTACGACAATTGTCGGCCAAATTTACACTTCTTTTGTGCCTGGTATCGTTTCGTCGGGTCTCCGACGTTTGGGCTTTTGATGTTAACGCGTTCACTTTTTCCCCAGGTGGGGTGACCTTTTCGGTGTCGAGACGTACCAAGTCCGACTCCACTGCCATTTTCTACCCATTTTTTCGAGAGGCTCCTAAGCTCTGTGTGGTTTCTACCCTGTCTTGCTTTGTGACAGTTACTACCCCACTTCGAAGTTCCCAATCGGGACAACTGTTGATATTTTACGTACATCCACATAAACCGGTTTCGGATGTTACTTTGGCTCGCTGGATCAGGTGGCTATTGTCGTTGGCCGGCGTGGAGTCCTCATTTGGTGCTCATTCGGTAAGGGGCGCAGCGGCGTCAGGAGCCCTGATAGCGGGTGCTTCCCTGTCCGATATTCTACGTTCAGAAGACAGTTTTATTTCAGACCGACGGAACATGCATCGTTTGCCCTACTGGCTGAGCGTTGAAACAGCAAATATGAAGCCTCCTGTCATGTTATAAAATTGTAGATTATGCTAGCTTTAGTGTACCTATAATCTTAATTTTATTAATGACAGGAGGCAAATATTTCCCACCCTCTTTGTTCCCGACCCTTGTTTGTATTTTTTATCTTGTATGTTGAGTATTAATAAAGAGTTTTATGTCTCTGGTCAGTATTCCTTGTGATTATTTACCTTCTGTATTTTTCATTTGCCTAGGGCGGGGATCTGTAGACTTGGTGATTTTCTCTATTAATTTGCACTGGGTGGCTGCATGTTTTTTATACGTACATTTCATTGGCTAATCGCAATTTTCGATTCTGTTTCTCTCGTTTCAGTGTAAAGTTCCCAGGATGGGATCACGTTCAGGTCTTCAATTCGGTTGAAAAATCCTATGAGAGTCATTATTTCTGTTGGAGATGGACTGTTCTTGTTATGTTATGTTTTTTCTGATTGTGTTTATTATCGCAGCTTGAAAGAGGAAATGGAATGTTGAGAAGGGAGTTATATGGTCTCCTTACTGTTTTCTGATTGGTTGTTTACTCTGTTTTTTGCTGCTGTGGAGTTCTAGTAAAGAGAGACTTAAGCAAATATTCACCTCCTGTCATTAATAAAATTAAGATTATAGGTACACTAAAGCTAGCATAATCTACAATTTTTCCCCACCATAACTTTTTTGGTTGTTGCTTTGCATTTAAAAGGATAGACTTCAGTACATCATGTGTCTGACATATTACATTCTTTATACATAAGGACTGATAAGCAATATATTGTAAGGATTCACTGCACAACCTTTTTTTTTTTTTTTTTACCTCAGAACCAATCTTTTGACTATTCTTACCAATAAATATAAGGAACTTTTTGAACTATTTATACAATTTGGTGTATTGCACCAAAGTTGTTTTGTAGTATCATTAGAGTATATTACCATATTTTAAATTTTTGAGAGTACCATATCTTTATGTATTTCTTTTTTTGTTTTTCTATACATGCTTGCTGCATGTATTTGCTTAAATATCAGTTATTGCTTTCATGTAGAAATTTAAAGCAACCCTAGAACATTATTTTCTCTCTTTCAGCACTGGTCTGATTGCCATTCTCTTCTGTCTTCGAGCTTTGGTATCTGCCAACTTCAACACCATTTATATTTACACAGCAGAGGTCAGTATGTAATAAATAGTGAGCTGTGCCTCCATGCCAGAATTTTACAATTGTCAAATAGAATACGTTTGGTAGCATCTTGTGAGTACAGAAAACAGCTGCTCAAAACAACTGTGAAACCCTTTTAACACAACCGACCAAGTACATAAACAAAATGCCAAAAGGTGGTGCACTAAAGACACACCAATAATACTTATCAATAGCATGTACCGCAGTTATAAAAATGTCATGGAACAATTTTGAGAGAAAAAAGATAGAGAAAAAAATAAATACAAATAAAAGAAACATAGTAGTGCAGACCAATACAACTCACTTAGCCATATAAGAAGAGGGAACTCACATATAGTAGAACAGAACACATGCCTCGAGTGTCAAGTACTCTACATGGTTGTCATGCCCCTACTTTTATGGTCAAATGATTTCACAGTGATGTGTGCCAGTGTAATTAAGCCCAATTAAGCTGGCTCAACACTGTAACAGGCCCAAGTATCAATGTCATACAATATGGATAATCTTCCCAGATACACCAAAATTCATCCAATTCTTTATTGGTTCTTATTTCACGGCACAAAAATCCTGTCAGGAATATGTCTCACGTCTGCATACTTCAATCTACCAATAAAATCATTTTGGAACGCTAATACATGTGGAAAGTCCCCTTATAATATGTTAGCCTGGTAGACTTCCACAGCTGTGATACATCACGTCCTGCATCTCCCCATATAATCAACTGTTTCGAAAACTTATCATTGCTGGTTAACATTAAAGGCATTCAGTCTAATACTAAGTGCTGTCAGAACACTCTGATTGGCTGTCTTAGGCTAACCAATTAGAGTGCTCTGAATCAAGTGGCAGGGCGTGGGAAGGCTGTATAAGCCTCCCCCTCTCTCCCCCCCCCCACTTTAGAACTCAGTCTGTGTGGAGCCCCTGGTGGGTAAAGATGTATTAATTTTTAGCATGTGGATTTTTTTTTTTACAGTACTTTTGTTTTTTGCAATTGGGTCTTTTTAAAATGTTATTAGTTTGACAGGATTTATGGCTTTTTATTTGGTTTTTGGGGGGGCTGAAAAAAGGTTTTAAGAAAAATTAAGACATTTAATGGTAAGCATTATTTTTTTTTTTTTCATTTACAGGTTTTTACTTTATTACCCCTCCCTAACAATTTTTAGGGCGAAGGGGGTAAGTAGGGATTTATTTTACTTGTGTGGTGACTAGGGGCTTGGGGACCCATAGTCACCTTGGGGGGGGGTAATTTTTACATTTAGCCCTCAACCGCCGCCAATGAGTGGGGCGACAATAGATCCCCCTAATTGTTAGGGCCCCCATCCGCCGCTCATGGCTGGGGACTGGGAGGAGTTAGTATGTCCTCCTCTTTGTCACTTATGGCCCCTACCCACCACTCATGGGTGTGGGCAAGCGAGGTTGGAAGACAGTAGGACTTCCCCCCCACTTTGTTACTTAGGGCCCCCATCTGTCTCTCATGGGTGTGGGCATTTAGTTTAATAGCCCCCACTCGTGGGGCATGGTCAGAGGCTCATGGGGGACACTATGTTCTACCTATAGTTATTTTAATAGGTACCCCACCATGGGGCACCTTCTTGGATTAGGGAGTCGGATGTCTTTTTTTACAGACTGCTCACTGTTTAGTAGACATGACACTGCTCATGGCATAGCGAGTAGAGACATGAGGGAAACGTCAATCTCCTGTATTTACTAATACTAAGTAATTTTTACTTAATATTAGTAAAGTTGGCTTAAAAAACTATTTTGGTCTTTTGGACTTTTAGTAGATAGTTTCGCAATACTGCAGGAATTTGAGAGCTATCCTTTAAGTGGCTGTAAGATGCAGCGGCGGCACTGACGGATCAGAATTTCATTCATTCAAATTAAATTTCAAACCAAACTAAATTAACTAATTTTGTCCTATCACGAATGGACAAACTGCACTCATTCTGTTAGGATGAAATTCTTTGTTTTCGCCAGCATCCTGTCTATATGACAGACCATTTGAGCACGGTGGAAAGGTGAGTATTGTGGGAAAATTTATTTGACCACAGGAAATGGAGCGGACTTAGCTCCACCTTTGGTCAAAGTAGGTCAAGCATTAGAAAAATACATAAGACAAAGTAGTCCTTACTATGTCTTATGTTTTAAAGAAAACTAGATCAGAAAGGGAAAAAAAGAACAGATCCTGAGAGAGGAAGAGAAGGGGAATCAATAGCAGAAAGGTAAGGTCAGCATGACAGTGCCTCTCTAACAGTCCAGAACTTATCATATGGGAATTTGGTGGTTATATTAATATTCTGGCACTTGTGTGTGTGTGTGTGTGTATGTATATATGTGTGTGTGTGTGTGTGTGTGTGTGTATGTATATATGTGTGTGTGTATATATATATGTATATATATATATGTATATATATATATATATATATATATATATATATATATATATATAATCTCTATATCTCACAAAAGTGAGTACACCCCTCACATTTTTGTAAATATTTTATATCTTTTCATGTGACAACACTGACTAAATGACACTCTGCTACAATGTAAAGTAGTAAGAGTACAGTCAGTATAACAGTGTAAATTTGCTGCCCCCCAAAATAATTCAACACACAGCCATTCATGTCTAAACTGTTGGCAACAAACGGGCTTTTATAGTCTAAAATTCTGATCAGACTCAGACAACCAGTTGTTGAGGTTGATTGGAATTATATACCACATAAGCTGTTTACCAGTTGGTTGTCTAACTATCTCATTACATCAGATGTATATTTTGACTCCCACTAGCCTCAGCTAAAAGCTCACTGAATGTGATGAGTTGGCAAGCAACTCTTTCACTCAGTTTGAATGGACATAAATTTTACAATCTGTTATTTTTTATATAATTTAGCTACACTACAAAAACATAATGCTACAGTTCATGAAAATACACACTGGTTTGTTTTAATATATGAGATTTACAAAACTTCTAATGAGGAGTCAAAGGAGCAGTTTTCAAACCATTTCTTAAAGACTATTAATTGTCCAAGTTTCACAGTTAGCCATGTTGGAACAGAACTGGATAATCCTTAAAGGAGCACTATAGGGTCAGTAACACAAACATGTATTCCTGACCCTATAGTGTTAAAACCACTATCTAGCACCCTTGGCCCCCTTTGCCTCCCTAAAGATAGTAAAATTGTACTTGTATTCAAGTCTGAAGCTGCTGCCTCTGCCTGTGAACTTCATCTGACCTCTGACATCATCAGAAGTGGTCGCCTGATCCAATCACAATGCTTCCCCATAGGATTTTGGTAATTAATTTTTTTATTTTATTTTTTAAGTATTTACATATTTAATTTTTTTATATTATACATAAATATATATAACAATTATATATATTTAATCAGTATCAGTCTACGTGTAATTTGATATTAATATATATATAAAATTATATATATAAATAGTAAAATAGTAAAAAAAAGTTAAAAGTGTAAAAAAAAATATATACTTAGATCATATATATATATATATATAATACATATAGTTAATACAATGCTAAACAAAAATCTGCACACCAGTCAAGCCATAAGACTTGCTTTTCCCACAGAAATCCCAAATCAGCAGTGATGTTACAACCGCAAAGGATTCTGGGTGGGCATATGCAAATTAGTTTAACAAAGAATCACCTTTTTGCCTCATTCCATTTTAAACATGGATTCCTTTTAATTTGTGTTTGCAGTATACAACTGCTTGGAACACAATTTAGGATAAGATGCAAAACCAGTGAACCACTGGTATATACATACACACACGTACACTGTATAGGTGTATTTTACTATTAATATATATATTAATATCAAATTACACGTAGACTGATACTGATTAAATATATATATAATTATTGTTATATATATTTATATATAATATAAAAAAATTAAATATGTAAATACGTTAAAAAATAAAATAAAAAATAATTAAAAAATATATAGATGTGTGTTATTTCGTTCTGTTTTGTGATATTAATATATATATATTTATATCAAAATACACGTAGAACGAAATAATATATATATCTATATGCATAAATATATACGTATATATCATTATATATATATATATATATATATATATATATATATATATATATATATATATATATATATCTCTATATATAAATAAAAAATATTTAAAAAAAATTATATATATATATACATATATATTCACATACGTGTATGTGTATATATATAATATGTAATAATTTTACATAATTGGGTATCTTAATTAATTACAATTAGCGGGACCTGCCTGACAACCCATGCCGAAAGTAAAGGGAATTTAATTTGCTAGCACTATATTTAACCCTATAACTTTCCAAGACACCATAAAACCTGTACATGGGGGGTACTGTTCTACTCGGGGACTTCGCTGAACACAAATATTAGTGTTTCAAAACAGTAAAATGTATTACAACGATGATATCGCCAGTAAAAGTGAAGTTTTTTGCATTTTTCACGCACAAACAGCACTTACACGGACGATATTATTCCTGCGATACTTTTTACTGTTTTGAAACACAAATATTTGTGTTCAGCGAAGTCTCCCGAGTACAACAGTACCCCTCATGTACAGGTTTTATGGTGTTTTCAAAAGTTACAGCGTCAAATATAAGGCTTGTATTTAATTTTTTTCACATTAAAATTCGCCAGATTGGGTACGTTGCCTTTGAGACCCTATGGTAGCCCAAGAATGAAAATTACCCCTATGATGGCATACCATTTGCAATAGTAGACAAACCAAGGTATTGCAAATGGGGTATGTCCAGTCTTTTTTAGTAGCCACTTAGTCACAAACACTGGCCAAAATTGGCGTTTTTTGCATTTTTCACACACAAACAAATACTAACGCTAACTTTGGCCAGTGTTTGTGACCAAATGGCTACTAAAAAAGACTGGACATACCCCATTTGCAATACCTTGGGTTGTCTACTATTGCAAATGGTATGCCATTATGGGTGTAAATTTCATTCCTGGGCTACTATAAAGTCCCAAAGGCAACGTAACCAATCTGGCGAATTTCAATTTCAAATGTAACGTGCTATATTTGACCCTGTAACTTCCCAAAATGCCATAAAACCTGTACATAGGGGGTACTGTTTTACACGTGAGACTTTGCTGAATACAAATATGTGTATTTTATTGCAGTAATAGCAAACATTATTATGACATTGACAGTTAAAATGTCATGTAGAACTAAAAAAATCAAAAGAATTCTTAGTTTATCCCATTTTTTTCATATTAAATTATGTTTCATAGCTAAATATTTGATATTAAATGAAAGCCCTGTTTCCCCTGAATAAAATGATATATAATAAGGGTGGGTGCATTTAATATGAAAGAGGTGAATTACGGTTGGACAGACATGTAGCGCAAATGCCAGGTTTTGTTTACATTTTGTTTCGTTCACAATGTGCACATTTGGCTCCGTCCTTAAGGGGTTAATGCATTAACACAGTTTTCACACATGTCCACCCTTTAATACATTCCAGGTCTACCCAACAGTGATGCGAGCCATAGGAATGGGGACCAGTGGTTCTATATGTCGAATAGGTGCAATGGCTGCTCCATTTATAGCCCAAGTAAGAATTATTATCATTATGTAGCTCTGATGTGGTGCACATTTGGTTTACAACTACATGGTTTCTGTATTGCTTCCAATTATTAGATGTTTTGTTTGCATCACTATTAGTCATGCAGATACCTTCATTTCTCAAAAATGTATTATTCTTTTCTTGCCAACCACATAATTTCTATTGTTTATTTGCAGGTCTTACTAAGTGCTTCCATAATAGGTGCACTCTGCCTGTTTGCCATTGTTTGTTTCATCTGTGCCATTTCTGCGTTCACCTTGCCCATTGAAACAAAAGGAAGAGCACTTCAGGTATGAACTGCAGATCATCTTTACCTACATCCTAACAGTGGGAGTATGCAAAGTAGGACAAGTGGGTGGGCCTGAGAAAAGGCATCACCAGCGACGCTAGTCACTGGCGATGCCCATAATGGGTGGGTCCATCCAGAAAAAGTTACGGACCTGAAGGACTGAAGGGGCCTGTCTGGCCAGTCCCAATCTATTGGTCCTTGCACAGATCGCTGATGAAGTATCCAAGAGCTTGTACATAGCACGACTGAATCTAATGAAATGCTTGCGCTGTGCTACCCAAGGACAGTTCCTTGATATCCCCAGATGCGGGGCCCCAGGAAACTAGATCCAAATGGTGGCACTGGACCCTGAAATCAGAACTATTCTGCAAAAATTGGGAGTGTTGGGAGGCCTTTCCTTGCTATATATTGCCTTAGATCAAGAACAGCTTTGCACTTAAGGTGAAATTAATATAAAACAGGTTTAGGAGGTTTTCTATAAGTGGAGCAATCAGCAGGAACATTCTCTTAATTCCCATGGTTAATGTTCCACCTTTAATACTTTACCCCAGAATTGTATACTCAATTTATGAAACTGAAAAATATTTTTATAACAATCTTTATTATATAAAGTAGATGTGTATTCCATCAGGCCACAGCTATTCGTAGAGTAACCAAAAAAGCTATTAAAGGGACATACATCCTTGACCATTATTTTTTTAAAACAGTGAGCAAAAACTTGAAACTTGTGATAAATGTGTGTAACACTTGGTTAGATTCCATTGTTGTTTACACTTCTCAGCTAAGGAAGTTTCTTCAGCTCCGGCCCCTTCCCACCCGCAGGGCTGGAGTGTGCCTTAGGTACGCCTTAGGTGCCCAGAACGCCACCTTAGGGTGCTCCACCAGGGGGCCCAAAACCTTTTTAGCGATAAGGCAAGCTGAAGTCCTTAGGAGTCCAGAGTGTCCCTTTAAGGGCTGTTTACTTATAGAAACCATAGAATGCAGGTTATTAATGCTGAAATACCATTTTGTGTTTTACAGCAAGTAAAGTAAAGACAACATTGAGGAAAACGACTATCCTTTAAAGAGATCTTCAGCTTATTTCTGTTGCTTGCTCGTTTTGCCAGAGCCCTCTTTACCTACCTTTGCTGTATGTCCTACATGGTTTGTTAGAATACAATGTTTGTATTGTTTCCCATTGCACAGTGCTGTGGAATATGTTGGCACTATAAAAATAATTGTACATGTACATAAGCAGGTTAAATTTTCATTATATGGAATAAGAATTGCATGAATATTGAAGAAATTCTCAAAAGAATATTTTTACCTGATTCACTGATTTTCTTTTAGACAAAATAAAGCAGCAACAGGACTTAGAACAAAAATATTAAAATGAAATTGAAAATAGTGAAATTATCTACCTTTTGATTTAAACACACAATGCATGCTCATTCTATGTACTCACAGGCTGACTGCACAAGAAATTAGATGCCTCCAAAGTGGTGAGTCCCCTTACAAACGATGCAGGCTACATCATTGTGTAAATTGGTGCCCCTAAAAGAACACACTTGTCTGAATCATCTGTCTATTTAAGCCTTTTAAGGCATGGTGTGAATATACAATGTCTACCAATGCCTCACAGAAAAATTGATAGGCTAGATGCAAGTTCCTCATTATGACATCACAAGATGAGGGGCTTTGGGTACAGAAAATTTCTCCTGTGTTTGTCAAGCTGAGTGAAAACTGTTTTATAAAGAAAAACAAAGGGATGCATCCATAGTTTCCTTGCATCATGTGCACTACAGTAAGCTTAAGTGATTATCATGTATTAGGGATACTTTTAATTTTGTATGACTTACATTAAAGAGTAAATATGCCCCTGTAATTCTCTTAGCTGTGTCTGTGCATTATGATAGATTGTTTAACCCCTTAAGGACCAAACTTCTGGAATAAAAGGGAATCATGACATGTCACACATGTCATGTGTCCTTAAGGGGTTAAAGTAAATGATGAAGTATAACACATGTGGTGATGCATCAAGAGAATAAAACGACCTGACTGCCATGCCGAACGGTCGCACTAAGCCTGAGCTCTGTGAGTAACTTTGAATTTTGTCGACATAATAGACTTTTGGGCCCCTATTTTCAAGCTTGAAGCTACCGTTTCTTTATTAAAGGAACACTATAGTCACCAAAACAACTTTAGCTTAATGAAGCAGTTTTGGTGTATAGATCATGCCCCTGCAGCCTCACTGCTCAATTCTTGGTAATTTAGGAGTTAAATCACTTTGTTGCTGTTTTGCAGCCCTTGCCACATCTCCCCTGGCTCATGTAACTCCTTGACATGATTCTTTATCTATATACTCTTGCTGGAATGCCTTTACAAAGCTTGTCTTGATCTATGCACTGAAAAAAATAAAGAATTATTTAAAAAAAAGAGAGATAATAAAACTGTAATTGTTTACTCTGATAGCTTTTTTTTTTTTACACACTTGTTAAATTAAATGTTTGTCCAATATATTATTGCAGCAACATAGGCAAATTGGACTACATCCCTGAAACTGGCTGCCAGCTTTTAGTCCAACATCAGGTGGAAAGCCAACACTGGACACTACCAGTTTGTTAATATGATATACTAAAGTACGTCAGCAATAAATATCATCTGGGCAAAGAGAGATTAAAAATGTAAAAATATTTCTAAAAAAACATATTTAATGGATAAACTGACATGGAAGGTCTTGCACCCATAGCCATCTAAAAACATTAAAGGACACACAGAACACCAAATGAAACCACTGGCTAGTTTTCTAAAGGGACGCTAACGAAACCCCAAACACTTCACCTCAATTAAGTGGTCTAGGTGTAATGACCCTATCTTTTAACCCTGCAATTTAAAACTATTTTTTTCCAGAGCATCAAGAATTTGTAGGTAGGTTTCCTTCATTCACTTGATATACAATTTACAATATTATATACCGTGCCATCGGCCCACTATTTTTTTCTTGTATTTTCATATATTGCTATATTACAACATGAAGACATCTGCTGTCCCTGATTGCAGTATATCCTAGGACTAGGTTGATACCACCCTTGAACGTTTTAGGCATATTTACTACATTGCTTATTTTAATTTTATATTGCTCTATTATTTGTTTTCTTAAAGCTTGATATTATATTATATTTGAACATCTCTCTCAACTACAGTTGTGCTTAAAAGTTTGCAAACCCATGGAGAATTGGTAATATATGTACCATTTTTTAAAGAAAACATTAGTGAGCAGGCAAAACACATTTTTTTTTCTTATGGGATTCATATTCAACTCTAGGTCATAACAGAATGGACAAAACTAAACATGGCAACAAAGAAAAATGAAATGACCCCTGTTCATAAGTCTGCATACCCTTAGTTCTTCATACTGTGTATTGCCCCCTTGAGCATCAATGACAGCGTGCAGTCTTTTTTAATAGTTGTCTATGGGGCCCTTATTCTTGCAGGTGGTATAGCTGCCCATTCGTCTTGGCAAAATGCCTCCAAGTCAGGCACAGTCTTTGCACGTTTGAGATATCCCCGGTGTGGCTTGATGATATTAAGGTTAGGAGACTGTGATGGCCACAGTCTCCTAACCTTCACCTTTTTCTGCTGTAACCACTGGAGGGTCAACTTAACCTTGTGCTTGGGGTCATTGTCATGCTGGAAAGTCCAAGAATGTACCATGCACAGCTTATGTGCAGAAAAATGCAAATTGTATGCCAGTATTTTCTGATAACATGCTGCATTCATCTTGCCATCAATTTTCACAAGATTCCCCGTGCCTTTAGAGCTCATCCCTTCCTCCCCCCCAACAAAAAAAACATTAGTGAGTCACCACCATGCTTCACAATGGGGATGGTATTCTTTTCACTATAGACCTTGTTGACTCCTCTCTAAACATAGCGCTTATGGTTGTTACCATAAAGCTCTATTTTGGTCTCGTCACTCCAAGTTACAGTGCGCCAGAAGCTGTAAGGCATGTTAAGGTGTTGTCGGGCATATTGTAACCAGGCTTTTTTGTGGCATTGGCGAAGTAAAGGCTTCTTTCTGGCAACTCAACCATGCAACTCATTTTTGTTCTATTGTTGTTATATTGTGCTCCATGAAACAACCACACCATCTTTTTCCAGAACAGCCTGCATTTCTCCTGAGGTTATCTGGGAGTTTTCTTTGTATCCTGAACAATTCTTCTGGCAGTGGTGGCAATCTTTCTTGGTCTACTTGACCTTGGTTTGGTATCAAGAGATTCACACATTTTCCACTTCTTAATAAGTGATTGAACAGTACTGACTGGAATTTTCAGGGCTTTGAATATCTATTTATATCCATTTCCATCTTTAAAAAGTTCCCTTACCTTGTTATGCAGGTCTTTTGACAGTTGATTGGCTGCCCTGCAGCCTTTTAAAACGCATCATTAAATTGCCGAACACCGAACTCCAACCCGAACATACAGTGATATGTCCGTGTTCGGGTCCGGGGTCCAAAAAACGTAATGTTCAGTACGAAACCGAACTTTTCAGTTCGGGTTCGCTCAACTCTATTGATGACCTATTGCCCTCTGACTTTCAGGAGTTCCTAGAGCGCACTTCTTTTTAGGAGGTGGTATTGATGATCCATTTACTCTCGCTCTGTTTGGGATTTTGGAGTTGTAGGAAGAGCATCCCACTTCTGCCATCTTCTGCTTCTGCTATCCCCTATACTCCGATTGAGGATATCTGTCGAGAGGTGAAAGTGTTTATAGCTCCCACCCAAACCTCATCCTAGACCTGATGAAGGGGGAAAAGTAGAGTGTGCTTCGAGTAAGGGCATGTCTACTAAACAGTGACCAGTCAGTGGCTGCTCACTGTTAAAAAACTAGTATCCCCCATCCTGAGCCCCCACCCGTGCCACGCAAGTGGGGGATATTAAACTGAAGGGAGGACATCAGGGGTGGAGGGGGGAGGACAATAGGTCCACCCCTCATTATCATTTATGGCCCCTCCCGGTGGGGGCCGGGGGGGGGTACTAGGTTTTATATTTTTAACAGTGAGCAGCCACAGGCTGCTTACTGTTTAGTAGACATGCCCCTAGTCGCGGTATAGCAAGTAGGGACATTCAGGAGATTTTAATCTCCCTTATGCTATTATGGGGGTCATATTGACCCACATAGAGTGAGGGGCGGCATGGGGGGCTTAGGAAGTGGCAGGAAGCACTGCTCGCTGACGCTTCTATCTTTACATTTTACAAGGACGGAGCTGTGCACCGGTAGCTCCCTCCTTGTAATAAACTGAACAAACGAACACTGATATTCAGTGTTTGTTTGTTCGTCTGACATTTCTATTCATTAATTCGTCTTTCTGACAAATGAATGGATGAAATATCTGTTTGCATGTCCAAGTGTTTAACTGGGCATGTGCGGGAAGCTCACAGGCTATCAAGTGTGGGCAGATGACGTGTCCCACAGGGACTTCATCTACCCACACAAAGATGGCGGCACCCAGATTATAGGTTCAGACACAAAATAAAGTAAAAAAATAGGTAATATTGGGGGCTTACGGGCATTTGGGGGTGACTAGGGGGTCAGTTATATGTAGTGGAGTCGGGAGGGGGGCTAAAAAAAAACGGAATTCGGCCATTACAGTGCCGCTTTAAGATCCAGGCATTGTTTGTAATCTGACTCCAAACATGGAAATAATGAGAAAGTCTGCCTCCCAATGTTTCTGGGGAAGAAAGGGGGATTGTCGTACTCACCAGACAATTATCTGAAGCAAGACATTCCTCTGGATCTATATGGTCTGCCACAAAGTAGGAAAAATGGAGATGTCCGTTGGGTGTTAAATGAGGATCTGAGTCCTTCTGCTGCTGGTCCTTGTTCTGTAGTGACTAGGTTAGTTAATTACGGGTCACTCTTTGAGTATTGACTTTCATCTTTCTGTGGTTAGAGCTGTATCAGCGTTTCCTAAAAAACATACAATTCGTTGTGTCCATCCTCTAAGGATTAAATAAAGGTTTTCCTGCAGTATCCGTGATAACGTTTTCCTCATCAGATTTTGATACACGTTCAGGTAAAAAAAATATTAAAATAAAAATAATAATTTAAAAAAATAATAAAAATGCCCACCCCCCACCAAGGCTCTGCATCACAAACACACTCTGCATCACATACACACACTGCACTCATACACACACACTACATTCATACACACACACTGCATTCATTATATACACACACTGTAAATAAATATTCAATTAATATAATTTTTTGGGGGGATCTAATTTTATTTAGAAATTTACCAGTAGCTGCTGCATTTCCCACCCTAGTCTTATACTCGAGTCAATAAGTTTTCCCAGTTTTTGGGGGTAAAATTAGGGGTCTCGACTTATATTCGGGTCGACTTATACTCGAGTATATACGGTACCTCAGAAAATTAGAAACTATAATTGAAAAAAATATCCAAAAATAAATATTAGTGTTTACAATAATGGTATAAATAAACCAATACAAATTATATTGTAAATATGCCAAAACTAAAGATGAAATAGAATATAGAATAACTGTAATGTATGCATATACGTTACTTATCTCCACTGGAGCAGCAAGGAAAGAGGAAGAGGATTGGGGGCCATTCCCTATATACAGACTATGCTGGATGCTGAGTGGCTATTGGATATTCCATTGCAGTTACTTGACTGTTTTTTCTTATATTGTTTAACTAAACATTATTGCATAATGTTTAGTGAATGCATAATATAAGCCTCCTGTCTTGTTATAAAATCCTCGTTTGTGTATTTATTTGAATAACTTGATAGCTTGACATTTCTGCCCACCAGGGGGCAGCAACACTTGGCTTTCAATCATCTAGAATGTTTTCTGCCTACGCTGGCTGAGCTCACTGTATAAAAAGCCTGTTGAGATAAAAAGCCTGGAGTTATTGTATGTATGGAGTCTGTCACATTTGTAACAGTTTATTAAAAAACACTGATTTAAATACATAGCAGCACTTTTTTAATTGGGGGCAGGGACACCTCCCTGGATGTCAGACAGCCAGGGTGATTTTCTTCCACTTGTGATAGCTCCACAGAGCTAACAGATGTGGCAGGTGAGCCATACTAGTAAATTGCCTGCCTTCCCCCTTTCTCATTGGAAAGCCACAATTGCATGAGTGTGTGCACATGTGGCTCCAGCTCTGCCTCTAAGTGCATAGACTCTGCAGTCTTTGGAAGCTGTTTCTCAATATGCCCATGCAATTACAGCATACACAATGCATGCACAAGACATTTCATGAGCATCTTGCAATTAGATCAATAGGAGAACCACTGCACATCTGCATTCATAACCCTTTCATTTGATTTTTAAGGGAATGGATTGATGGGCCAAGCCAAAACAGGTAAATCAGTGTCTGAAGGGAAGCTTCAAAAGATGAGCATAATTAACTTAAACCATTTTAAAATATATATAAACCTATATATTGCACAAAAAAAGAATTGTTGGTGAAAATCGCCTCAGCTCGCTTCTTTCAAAAACTGACTGTGTTTATTACTTGTATCCATCTCACTTAAGCTGATTATGTTAAAACCAAAGCAATAACAGGGGCCAATGTAACATAAAAGGGAAGAGATTAACGAATGGAGTAAAATGCAGACTGAGAATTGAATATATACAGATTTCTTTCATCTAGTAATATTCACTCACCAGGAAGGACATGTCACTCAGGTTAGCGATGTAAGGATATCAAATGAAATGAAATTTGTTTAGTGGTTATTGTGTTATTTATTTACTATAACTCCTATTCCAACTCCTAAAACTTACTGTTATTCACCAAAGTGTTAATTGTTGGAATTTTTTTGTGAATTTCAAATTTCAGACCAAAATATCTGAACTGAAAACACGGTTGATTTGGCATATATTTCCAGTTTGGCATTCATTTTGAACTTAAATTTAAGCAAATAATCCTAAAATGGATGGTTTACACAGAATAGTAAAAAACAACTACATGCTTTTTTTTCTATATTTGGTGTCCATATATTGGAGTCCTGGAGACCCAAAAGATAACTATGCAGCCACATTTCTGACAACTGTATGGTAAGTGTTGATGAGCACATAAGTGCTAAATAATATAAACACGTTAGCAACCCAGGGTTTCATGTCGGACATTTACTAAGTTTCCCTTGATATTTTTGCCTTCTTTTGGATCAACAGTAAAAAACAAATTTGAGGAAGGCTGAACTTGATGGACGCATGTCTCTTTACAGCTATGTAACTATGTAATTAAGTTAAAAATTCTCCCCTAACATGAGATGGACTTGCACACACTATCAAATGTACTGACAGAGTAACACATTGACAGTTTTAGTTAAGTGCTGGTTTAATGGCGTGATTGTTGCAACATAAGGATGGTAAAGAATCTGAGAGAGTGCCAAATCAATACTTTGCATTGATTGTAAGTTTAAAGGTTCCTTTCAAACAACACATTACCTGAGGCAGGTTGTGACATTTCCAATATGTGCCATATCGGCTCATTCCTCTTAAACATTTTGCTTCTGTTTTTCTCACTGTGTTTCCTGTTTTAAGGCTTGGTTATGGATAGCGTGTTCACAGGGCTATGCCACCAACAATGGATTTGATGGAAACATTTGGACATTTATCAATGGCTTTGATGGAAACGTTTATACATGTATCAGGACATTTAGAAGCTATGTTCAGTCTTTAGTAACCTGTCTTCTAACTTACCTAACACAATGTCTCCCAACATTCTAATCATGGAATGGTATCAGGACATAACATATCATCTTTCAGGAGCAGTGATGTTTTTATTTATTTATTTATTTATTTATTCTTTATTTTTGATGTGCAGTTGGTTATAAGTTATCGTCATACGCCACAACAGTGTGTTTGAGGATGCGTTAAGGTTTGACAGTGGCATGAGAGTTTGCACATTTTTTATAGTTATAACAGTTTTATCGAAACAGTAACATCGTTCACATACAGTGAGATTATTCTCGTTCAACATTGCTAGTGTAGTTTTGTTAGTGCATATGCGGTGTTGTGATGTGATTTGCTATGTAGCAGCAACTGGGTTGAGGATGTTGTCTATCCGGGTGGTGCTACTCTTGTATAGGCTTTGCCGCATGGAGATACCGAATAACTAGGTTAGTCAGCTGTTTAAGGTGGTATCACTACACTGTCTTGACAGCGATGTATATAGGTGTGTTCTGAGTAAGCTGTGGTATCTGCGAGAGTCGGTTTGGTCCGTGCCCATATATGCTCTTTGTGTGGTTGTGAGGATGATGAGCCCCTTGTCAGACATTACGTGTCAGTCCTGCATGGGCTGGGTGTGTTCCCCCTGTGCTGTCTGTGTATGGGCTGTGTGCCTGGGAGTGACCCATATCGGGTGGGTGGTGGTACCTGGTTGGAGTGTTGTGTCGTCCCTGTGGGCTGGAGCCTTTGAGGGTACTATGTGGGGGTGTGCTAACCAGCTGTTTGAACGGTAACATATCTTTCATAAACGAGAATTAAATTAAAATTTAAATTAAATTAAGATTAAAATAGCAGTAAGGAAAATAAACAGGAAAAGCCAGACTGCATCACTTAGAGAAAACTCGGAGAAAACAGAGTTCGAATAGAGTTACAGAGAACAGTAACGATTAATGACTGTACGTGAGAGGCAGGGTAGCGTTCCTTTTGCAAGCGGCTGGTGTGACGATTCTTATTTCTCCTCCATGAGCCACTGCGGACCGCATGTGTTGTTCAACAGGTCCGGTTATCCCCGATGTGCCCAAGGGTCTTGTGGAGAGGCAATGAGCCTGCCGGTGTCCTCTGGAGCCAAAGATGTTTAGGCTGAATCCTGTGTATTCCCCTGGGGTTCCGGGTTGCCGTTAATGTGCGGTCGCAGTGCGTTAAGGGAGGTTGTAAGTCCCTGGTAATCAGGAAATGGTCGCAGCTTCTGCCTCCGTTTTTTTCCCCCGCGGCTCAAATGGTGTTATCTTCGCTGGGTCCCAGCGTTGGGTCGTGGAGGAGGAGGTCCCCGGATGCCCTGGAGGAGCGAGGGAGTCCTCAGGCAAGTCGAGAGTACTGAGTAGCGACTCTGCTCCCGGAAGGTCTGTTACTGTGTAGGACGCGTTATTTCTCTGTACCTGCAGCGCCCTCGGCATGCGCCATTGGTAAGTTATGCCGCTTTGCCGCAGGAGTGCCGTGAAAGGTTGGAGGGATCGCCGCCATTGAAGAGTGTCCCCGGATAGATCCGTGTAAAAGGTAAGGGCCGCGTTCTTGAAGGTGAATGGTGTTTTTCCTTTGAGGCTTGTGAGTACTGCTGCCTTGTCTGCGCCCGTGCGGAACTTCACTACCACATCCCGGGTTGCAGATACCGGAGCTCTTTGTGGCTTGGGGACTCGGAAGACAGCGTCAATTGAGGTGGTTTTGGCTTGTTTCGGTGTCAGGATTACTCCGATTAGTCTGCGTACCAGATGCGGCAGTTCCTCTGTCGGGACATCGTCAGGGACACCCCTTATTTTTACATTGTTGCGGCGTCTGAGGTCTTCCAGGGCCGTGAATCGTAGGTTAGTGGCCTCTTGTTGCTGTTTAAGGGCCTGTACCTCCGTCCGGAGCTCCAGTATGGCCTGGGCCTGTTTGTCAGATGAGGCCTCTAGTATTCCAATACGGTTCACCATACCCGTCAGGTCTGTTCTTAGCTGGGCCATGTCGGCCTGCAGCACTTTCTGCAGATCCCCCAGCATAGTTCGTAGTGTCTCCGTGGTTACCGGGTCGGGTAGCCCCTTTTTCGAGGTCGGCTGTGTTAACGGAGCAAACATTCCGCCCGGGTAGTCCTCCAGGCCCACTCTGAGGAGTCAGTATATTCATCTAGGTCCGCGGCCATTTTGGGCCCATGCGCTCCTTGCGCCTGTCGGAACAAGTCTCCGATATCTGGTCCAGTTTTGGGTTTATCTGGTCTCTGTTTCTTTGTCTTTCTCCCCATATCCTCCGTTGAGCAGTGGAGTGTCTTTACTGCGCTCTGTATAGTTGTTATAACGGGTGTTTTAAGCAATTTGCACCGGGAGCTCATCTATGTGCGTCTATCTCGTTCGCTTGCTTGGCTCCGCCCCCGCAGTGATGTTTTTAAACCACACATTATATCAGGCTTGCGGATGAGTCAGCCACACATATATACCTGAATAGCCACATTTACTCCTGCATACACTTAATTAGCCACTTGCGTAGCTATTTACATAAGCAAACATACAAACACACATGCACACATACAAATAACAAATAGCTAAACACACACACATACATACATAAATAGTTAAACACACACATCCAAAAAAGAGTGAAACACATGCAAATAATGCACACCCAAACAGCCAAATACATGCACAATAAAGTTTAGGCATACATTAACACTTTCATTTTTTCTCTGTTTATTTCTTTCCACAGCTCACCTATGCAAGTAGGGAGCAGGCATAGGTATCCCTATTGTCTTTTGGTGCCCTGCGTAGGGACAGGTATGGTTTGCTGATATAGTCCAGCACCCACTGCCTATATTATTATATGGAACCATCACAGGTGGCAAGGATGACTGAATAGCAAGTCTACTGACATGCCATTGACTCCAGTTGATGGTACAGCATTATTGTCTGGGTAGGGGTAGGCAACTTTCAGCACTCCAGATGTTGTGGACTACATCTTCTATAATCCACTAACTGCCATAATGCTTGCAAAGCATCAGGGGAGATGTAGTCCATATATGAGGCGTGCCAAAGGCTGCCTGCCTCTGCACTTGGGGATGGTGGAGACTTCAGTCATCCATGGGTGTCTGCATGGGGGGCCCAACCCCCATTTGATTTTTTCATCATTCCCTCTCCCCACAGGCAATTTTCCCTCTGACTGTGACAGCTTAGTCCGAGGGAAAGAAGGAGGGAGGGGCTGGGGGCTGCATTTAGGTTGCCAGTGTGAGGCTCCCTTTAGAATCCCCTTAGCAATTTGGTGTCTATATGCTCCACCCCCGCATTCAGGCTCTGCCTCCCGCACGTAAGCACCACACCACAAAGCTCTGCCCCCGCACACACGCGCCGGAAGAAAGCGGATAGACTTCGCCTCCCACTGCTCCCAGTCTCACACAGTCTTCTGTGTCAGGTAGGCTTCAGCCCATGACAGTGATTGATATTATGTGTGTTTGTCTGATAGTGAGTGAGCTTGTGTGTGTGTGTCTGATAGTGAGTAAGCTTGTGTGTGTGCCCCTAATAGTGTGTGTGTGTGCCTGATAGAGAGTGAGCTTGTGTGTGTCAGTGAGCTTGTCTGTAATGAGCATGTGTTTCAGCTTTTCTGTAGTGAGCATGTGTGGGTGTCAGTGAGCTTGTGTGTGTGTGTCAGTGAGCTTGTCTGTAGTGAGCATGTGTGTCAGCTTTTCTGTAGTGAGCATGTGTGGGTGTCAGTGAGCTTGTGTGTGTGTGTGTCAGTGAGCTTGTCTGTAGTGAGCATGTGTGTCAGCTTTTCTGTAGTGAGCATGTGTGGGTGTCAGTGAGCTTGTCTGTTGTGAGTTTGTGTGTATGTCAGTGAGTTTGTCTATAGTGAGCATGTGTGTCAGTGAGGTTGTCTGCAGGGAGCGAGCATGTGTGTGTCAGTGAGCATGTCAATGTGTGTCAATTAGCTTGTGTGTGTGTCACTGAGCTTGTCAGTAGTGAGCTTATGTGTGTCACTGAGGTCTGTAATGAGCTTGTGTGTCAGTGAGATTTTCTGCAGTGAGCATGTGTGTGTGTCAGCTAGCTTTTCTGCAGTAAGCATGTGTGTGTTAGTAAGAGTGTCTGTAGTGAGCATATGTATATGTGTCAGTGAGCTTGTGTGTGTCGGTGAGCTTTTCTGTAGTGAGTACGTGTGTGTGTCAGTGAGTTTGTCTATAGTGAGCATGTGTTAGCAAGCTTTTCTGTATTGAGAATGTACGTGTGTCAGTGAGTTTGTAGTGACCATGTGTGTATCAGTGAGGTTTTCTGTAGTGAGCGTGTGTGTGTGTGTGTGTCAGTGAACACGTGTGTGTGTGTGAGAGTGAGTGAGCTTGTCTGTAGTGAGTCTGTAGTGAGCATGTGTGTGACAGTGAGTTTGTCTGTAGTGAGCGTGTGTGTGTGACAGTAAGGTTGTCTGTAGTAAGTTTGTGTTTGTATTCTAATGAGTTTGTCTGTAGTAACCTTGTGTGAGTGTCAGTTTGCACTAAGTGTGTGTGTACTAGTAAGCTTGTCTGTCAGTAAGCCTATTTGTGTGTATCAATAAACTTTTGTTTTTATGTCAATAAGTTTGTGTATCAATGAGATTGTCTGCTTGTGTCAGTGAGATTTTCTGAGCATGCATGTGAGTATGCTTACTGTATAATTAAAATTTTTACAATGAGAGAACCAATATTTTAAATTAGAAAAAGAAATATACCAATAATTAATATATATAATTACATTACATTAATATACATACATACATACACAGAGACGTAACCAGAAACCACGGGGTCCCCGGTGCGAAAATTGCCCTCCCCCATGTCATGGGGTAACACTTCCGGGTTCGGCACTCAGCTGTGCAGAGCCGGATCCCGCCCCCCTCTGACGCAGCTCTAACAGTATTTAGGGAGACCGCGCCAGAGAGAGGGTGCTTGGTGAAACTGGGAGCTACTTCCGCCAGACTTACCTCTCCACAGGCTCTGGCATTGTGGGTCGTACTTCCGAATATGCACGCCAGCTCCTGGGACACGCCGGCTCTATAAACTCTGAAGTCATCCTAGCCTTCTGGGCTAAGAAAAGTATACTTCATGCCACAGAGGATTACTGGAGAACGGAAACTCACTTACTTTACAAGTGGACCATATCTCTCAACTATTGTAGGACTACACATATTAACCTTAAGTATATCTTTCAGCTATTTGTCTACAATATCATTTAATAATGAACTAATGCTTGCTTACTCAAATCTTCACTGCTTCAAGCTACTAATGATATGGAGGACAACTCCCATCATGCTTATTAACTATGAGCTGTTCCTGCTTTGCAAATATTCCCAGCTACTTGCTTAATGTTACTATTGAAGATTATTCTCATTAACCTAAAGAATGTTACTTAATGCATCTCTGAGGAAATACTTATTAATGAACTTTGTGTTGATTACTTGCACTTCTTCTTATTGGATTATTGCCTAAATGCAATTCATTTAAGTTTAACACTTATTAAAACTTCGTTTGAATCAAGTTACCAGCAATTCTCTCTTTTCTTAAAGCTACAGTATTGATACTTTAAAGATTCTCAGTTTCTTCACAATTGTAATTAGGGAGTTTTACAAGCTGCAGTAAAGTTCCAATCCAAATCACCCAAGTATCGTAACACCCCGTAAGTCTACCCCCCTGTCCATCCTCCCCCAATTCGTCTACTGTCCCCCTCCCATACGTTCCCACCTACTCCCACACATGCAAACAGATACACATGCAGACACACACACACATATACAGAGACACACACACACACATAGACACACCCATACAGGCACACACACACATACATACAAACACACATACATACAGACACATGCATACAAACGCACACATACAGACACATACATACAAACACACACACACATACATACACAGAGACATACATACAGACACAGAAAAACATACACACATACAGATACACAGACATACAGGCACACCGACAGACAGACACACATACATACAGACAGACACACAGACATCCATACACCCACACAGACAGACACACACAAACAGACACACACACATGTACATACAGACTCAAGGACAGACATACACACACACACATAGACATGCAGTCATACACAAATACATACAGATACACATGCACACATACATACACACACAGACAGACACACACATAGATACAGACACACACACAGACAGACATACATACAGACACATACAGAGATTCATACAGACTCACATACCTTTCCCTGGGGTCCAGTGGCTCAGCCTGATGGGAGTCACAGTTCCCACTCTGACCCCCTCCTCTCCTTCCTCCTGCGTGGCTCCCGGTGGTTGCTGGGAGGAAGTGACCAGGGCAGTCACTTCCTCCCAGTGTCTGACATCATCAGAGGGGGCCCGGTCGCGCTGTTAAAGCGCTGACCGGGCCCACTGGAAATACATAGCATCGGGTGGCCCTTACAGCATGGGCCACTCAATGGGCTCCTTCGATGCGGCCCCAGTCGTTACACCGCGCGGGCTGGGGTCGCATTACTTAGCCAGTGTTACCCGCGGTCGCTGGGGTCAGCAGGGCGGCCGGGCCCCCTGGAGTGACGGACACGGTCGCAGCTGCAACCCCTGTGACCGCGGTAGTTCTGCCATAGTACATACATACACACACTGTACACACACACACTACATGCAACAATGACTTATGGGGCTGGCATACAGTTTTTTTTTCAGGGCTGCTTTGTATCCCCTGTCCAGTCCTGCAAAAAGGGTTCAAGCACTGATGTCATTACAATTATGCCCCTCCCCCCACCCCCCAGGAAAAATTCCTGCGGATGCCCATGTGGTCATCGACTGCTATATGTACTGCTCAGAAAAACAGTCACAAGATTCTTAAATACATTACGATTTTTCTGTTTTTGTTTGTAGAAAAATGTAGTTCCACCATAAACCTGCAGTAAAACTAGGCATAAATACACCCCGGTAGATGCAGGAATACCTCCAGTAGAAAGACACCAGTCTCTCAGCCTGGTTTTGTTATACAAAGTTTGACTAGCCAGTGGCCAATGTATATGTACACTTCCACATAATCGTAAGGCTTGAACTCTGGTTGTTAAGAGAGCTCCAACCACTTAAA